TTTTTTTTTTTTTTTTTTTCCTGAGATACACATATTTTTTGTAGTATACTGTAATATATTTATTTACAAGCGAAATATAGAAAAATATATATATATCTCAGAGAGACTTTTTCGATATGTATATCTCATAAATACTATGTGTATCTTAGAATTTTTGCGAATAAAAATTGTGTATCTTAGTAAATAGCCGTATATCTTTAGATTCTTAGATTCGTATATCTTTATATCCTTATATCCTTATATTTTTATATCTTTAAATTCTTAAACTTTTAGATTCTAAGATCCTTAAGTCTATACTCGTAAGTATACTATTATTATAGTAACCCCTACCACACGCTTAATATATAGAACTTGAAGTTAGCACCTTCTGGTGCTCGCTAGGAGTTACTGGTCCTACCGTTTACATCTATTTGACTAATGTGGAGATTTAGTGCCCCTACTGCACCATTACACGTTATCACGGGTTTTTTTCATTTCTCGATAGACCGATACAACTGAAAGCATTAATTTTAGGAGAAGAGTACAAACAGGAACGAGACTAAAAGAAAACGCTCTACTCGCTATGCAATACAGAAGACACCCGCCCAGCATAATTTAGCCTTCTTGTCTAAACTCTGACAGAAACAAACAATCTCTTCCTCCCGCATCCCTCAACCCTTGGCATTCCATTTGTCATTGTACGCATTTACTGCCACAGCCACCTGCCGGTACAGCCAATTCCTGGATTGCTCATCCGCCACAGGAATAAATGGTCCATTTGTACCTCCCTTGAGCGTGATTCCCATGCCGGTACGTTCCTTGCTGATGGTCTGGATATCCTTAAGAGGAACATCCCATTCAGTTGTGAGCTTCTTCGTGCGGACCATCATGATTCCGTTGTACGTGAGCATGACGAGCATGTCACGTCCCGACAACTCAAGATGCGCAATGTAATCTTCGTTGAAGTAGCGACCGTTGTCAAGCGTCTTGAGCCAGAACTGACCAAGAGCTTCCCGCTGAGAGTATGGGCGCACAATGCCGTCTTGTCCGATGAAGCGAGAGAGACGTACCCGGTCGAGACCTTCCTGATCGAAGACGGTAGTAGTGTTCCGTACACCTTCAGCCATGTTGGACGCGAGATCGAAGGCGCCGATGGCAGGCTTGGTAGCGAGGCCGAGGAAGCCTTTGCCAACGCCCTTTACGAAACCAGCCACGCCTTCCTTCTCTGCACCTTGCAAAGGATGCCTTGCGAGACCTCCGATACCGCTGGCTAAACTCTCTGCGAAAGCATTGCCACCAGAAGTTATGCCGTACAAGGCATGCTTTGGGCGGTTCCTCGACCTCTTCATCCGACGCGAATCTTGAAATTCTTTATCGAGAGTTGCCGCAGCGAGGCCCTTGGACATGCTACCAGTAAACTTGGCCATACTGTCCGAAAATCCAAAGACAGATTTCTTGACGAAACTCGAAGCGCCCTTGGCGATACCGATACCCAAATCTTGAGGCCTGTCCGTCATCACGAGACCCTTGTAAGGCTCGTAAAAGATGTCGGTGACACCAGAAGACACGTTCTGGAAGAGTCCGACAGGGTTGCCGAGGAAATCTGCCGAGCCAAGGACAAGATGTACCTGCCGAAGGGATTCCTGAACATAATGGTTCTTGATGCTGTTGACGAGAGCACCGACTGAGACACGGGCGTTCTCTAAAATCAAAGCGTTGTACCGCAAAGGAGCATCGTTAACATTCCCAATGGACATTGTCAAGACGTTGACGGCGAACATGAAGGGATTGGAGGATGTCATCGTATCCTCTGCGTTGATGCGTTCGGTGCGGACGAATGACAAATCGAACTGCATGGGCTGTAGATGCAAAAGCTCAAAGTAAACATCCTGGCCGCCATGCTCTTGCTTCGGCTCTGGAATGTCCAACTCTTCATCACAAAGCTTGCCTTCCTTGACCTCAGACCAAGAGGCACCGGGGATTTTGGTGAAGTCCAGTAAAGCGAAGATAAAATCCTCGTCAATCTCCAAGGTCATCTGCTGCAGCAGGAACGAGAAGTATTTGATGTACAAGACACCATAAGAATCATCCTTGACTCTCGTGATCGAAGTTTGAAGAATGGGGTGGGCCTCCATCTCCTTGCCGGTCTTGGGCACGACACTGGGATAAAAGAGAATGGGGAATATGCCGCCATACAGCTGGTTGTCGATCTGTATCCACTTGACAGTGGTGGCGAACTGTTGGTAAAGTGCTGAGTCGCCGTAAGAAAGCTCAATGTCTCGAAGAGTGATGTAGACCAACTCGCGCAACTGCCTGTTGACAAGAGATATGCCAATACCGGCAATCCGCAGTTTGGCTTTGAATGTGACATTGGTGTCCATCTCCTTGACCTCGAAGCCTTCTGACGTAGATCTCGAAGATTGTCCCGACTTCTGCTTGTACAAGCTCTTAGAAGGCTTCCAATTGGATAACACAAGCGTCTGAGTGGGTCCGTCTGCCACGACGTTGAGATCGATAACCTTGCCGCGGGTTGCGCCTTGGGGAGCCGGCAGTTTCATTGGAATCAGGTTGCCGATTTCAGCAAGCTTGACATGTCGCTCCTTTTTGTTGGCCTGCAGAACGATCTCCTTGTTTCGCGCTGCTGGATAGTCCCAAGCATAAGGCATTATGCTCTTTGGAGGCAGACGGTATCTGATGGGACGCCAGCCAGAGCCACGATCTTCCTCGTCCTCATCCACGTTAGGGTTTGCCTGCCAGAACAGGAACTCGGTATCACTCTCGTTCCGCATAGAGAATGGCCAATGCTTGGTCTCGACGCTGACATGTAGGAAAATGGTAGCCTGCTCCATAAGGATTTCCACTCTGATAAGCTTCTGCCGTTGGCCGGCTTTGGCGATCTTGACGTGGACGCTGCCCACATTGGCAATGTCAAATGGCGAAGACCACTGATTGTTGAGACCAGGGAAGCAGAGGCACAGTTGCTGGCCAGCACCTTGACGCAAGAAGCGAAGAGGAAGCAACTCGCCATTCTTCAAAGTCATGACGTTGGATGACCCTGGTTCGCGGATGTTGATATCCTCGTTCATCTTGTTCTTGATGACATAGCGTGGAGCAATGGTGACGATTTTGCTCAGATTGTACTGCTTGAAGATCAGAATTGTTGCATTGGAAAGAAACGCGTGATGTGAAGCATACCTTGCCCTCTCCCTCTTCGACTGTCACGCCGACATGCATCTCAGACCTTCCTTGAGTTGACTGTAGAGCGACATCGTACGTGCTTCCAATTGCGTCGAAACTCTGCGGCTTACTCCAGTTTGTATCACCAACCTTGATCATGGCCCGGTTCTTGTGGTCATCAGTCGGGAAAGAGAACATGAAAGGCTGTGCCCTGCGACCGCTCTCTTCAGTGCTGATATTGGCAAAAACTCCTTGGCCAGCGGCAGATTTTGTGGCACCCAAGAACTGCTTGCTACGGACATCCAACTCAAGCCCCGTTCTGTTAAGAAGGACGTAAGGCGCATAGATGGTGACCTTGAATGCGCCTCCGCTGTCTGGAATATTGTAGTAGTGTAGCTTGAGACGTAGCGCTAGATCCTGCTGGTCTTTGACTTCAATGGTCTTCTCTCTGCGGAAGTTTTCCTTGTCCGACGAGTTGACCACGGCAAACTTGCTTTGTTTGAATGGGGTATCTTGCATGTCAATGCTCATTAGCAACAAGTGGGACAACTCAACAACGTGAACCGGACTGACACCACCCTTGCGGAGGAAGTTGGTCCAGTCCTTCTTGGTGTTGTCATCGTATATCCTGTACTTGAAGTCATAAGGCAGCAAGTTTTGGACTTCAACCGGAGCGTGCAGTCGGATGCGCATACAAGGATACACATTGGTCAGTGGATCCTTCTTGTCGAAAGCAGCATGCATCTGGAAGTAGAATGGCGGAGCTTGGTCGTCGTTCTCGCCTCGACAGGTTATCGTCCTCGTCTGACGCTTGAGAAGGTCCTTCCAGAACAGCCGTTCGTTGGACCAGGTGTAGCCGAACCCTTGATCCGGCCGCACAACCAAAGAATGCATGAAGGCAGCGCCAACAGGTGCGGGTCTCGCATCTCCAGGAGCAATCTTTTCGATCTTGAGCAAATGACCTTCTTCGGGGCTGAAGACGCCAACCTCGACCGGAATCTGCGTATTGTTCTCCACTACGAGGGGCGAGCGGAACGTGATGTACTTGACGTTGTCTTGTCCCAAAGTGACTTGCACGCAAATACGGTGAAGGACACGGTCTTTGCGGGGTTGAAGACTGTAGATGGCTTCGCCCTCGCGATTGACAGGGATGCGGTTCAGGCTTTCAAACCCGCTGCCTTCGAGTTTGATGCCGACAAGGCCAGCAGCCCCCTCTGGAGCAAGCGTTTCTCTGGTAGTGGTCGGATCCTCAAATCTCCATGGCATTTCTTCACCGTCAGAAAGTTTTGCAGCTGAGCCCTCATGGTCATCATTGGTGACAGCCCAAACGTTCAGATCGAAGCCCGTGTAGTTACGAATACGATACGGCGCATCCGTTCCACGAGGCTTCGACAAAACATCCTCATCGCTTGACAGGAAGTCTGCAGATTTTGAAGCCAAGGCAATTGTGGCAGCGGTGACCGTCAACTCCAAATTCTTCCTAGAATATAGCTCCACCGAAAGTTTGTCAGGATTCAGTTCCTTCGACATGTGGAAGCCAAGTGACCATGGCTCGATGAGCGGCTCCCAAGCAGACTTAGAGAAGTTGTAGATGTTGAAGAACGTATCGACGCTGGTGTCGGCGACCATAGCCCCAGACCAATCTCGAACGTCAATGTCAAACTTCTTGACACTCCAGTCGAGCATCGGAAGTTCATGCTTGTCGCCAATCAGAACCACACGAATACCGTCCAATTGAATTTTCATTTCTTCTCTTTTGATGACGGCAGAGCCTTGGGATTTAGGAGCTTCGACCTTAGCAACGCTGGAGCGGTGCGTGGCAATCGTTTTGGCAGTCTGTCTGTGCGCGGTTGATGCACCAGCTCCTCCAACGGACTTGTTCTTCGTACTCTTTGAGGATGCGCCCTTAATCTCTTTAAGTTTCTGTGGCTCTTGTCCTGCTAACTTCGATTCGTCATTGCCAGACATTGCTGATGCTTTGTTGACAATCTGCATAGCAAGTAGAATATCCCGGAGCGATAGACGAAGCACAAGCGGCTCGATATCGACTTGAATACTCGTCAAAGATGATTCCTCATCCTGATTGCGCATATCGAGAGAAGTTTGAATGCTGAAGTCATCAAGGATGCGTAACTTCGTCGTCTCCCATTGGTCCATGCGGCAAAGGAACATCCCGATCTTCTCAACCTGAAGCGTCATTGCATTTTGCTTGGAAATGAGAACTTGCTTAGTGCCGAGGACAATGGCCTCCGAGTTTGTCATAGTTGGATTCGCAATCAAAACAGCTTGGGCGTCCACTACGTTCAGGCGGAAAGAGATGTCCATAGTCGATTCGTCTTCCGCCTTTTTGGCTGGCTGAGCTTCAGTGCCTTGCTGTCTGACGAGAGCGCTTGAAGTGTCGCTCATAGAATTCTCCAAGTCATCAGTTGCTTCGTCTTCCTCGCTTTCGATTTCGAGGGGCTCTTCCGTAGCAAGGCCCGCGTTGAGAAAAGCTTGAATAGCAAACAGATAATCGAGAGCCAGGATGATCCGCGGGCTGTCAATAGTGAGGATTACAACCAAGTGGCGTTCTTTGCCACCAGACATTGACAGACTAGCCATGAACTGCTGCTTGACGTCGTTGTTGATGAGTGACATGATCTTACGGAACTTGTTCGACTCTCGGGTGCGGCTGTCGCGGATGGTGAAAGACTGAATCAACAGTTCTGATTCCATAGAGCCATCGCTGATCATGCGCAACTTGATGCTCGTCTCGTTCAGCGAAAACTTGGAAAGACTGGCCGCCTCAAGATCGCCAACTGGCTCCTTCTCCTTACCCTGAATTAACTCGAGGCCAATGGCACCAACCTTGAATACCAAATCCAACTTGGTCCATGTATCAGACTTTGAGCCAAGTTCAGGACCTTGGTTCGCAACAGTCTGGTCCTCTCTGGCCTCTTCCTCCTTTTCCGTCATTCTTCTGGCAGGTGTCAAGGTAGACTCCGGGAGTTCTCGTTCGACATCCTCTTCCACAGCCGCCTCTGGCTCTGTGGCAAAGGCGGCAGGAATGGTTCTTGACAATTCGAGCATAAACTTCATCTGCTCCGGAGTAACTCTGAGATTGATGTTGGACATAGATCCCTCAATTTCCAGATCAGGGCGTTTGTACTCCGGTTTATGTTCGATATAGGTTATGTCAAACCCGAGATCGACCTTGTCAATCAGTTCCAACTCCTCAGTCTTCTCTTCTTCGTAATGGAACAAAGATGTTAAGCGAACGTTTCGGATGCCTGCTGACAGTTTGTTTGCAGTGTCCGAGTTTTCAGAGTCATCAAGAGGGACAAATTTGTTATTGGCGTAGATCTCTCCGAGGTGAGCAGTAAGACGATCTCGTTCTGCTTGCCCTTCGTTCATGACCATGCGCGGGAAAACGACGATGGGAGTGCGGACAAGGATGTCGAAATGCATCTTGCTCGCGCGATCCTGTATTTGACTTGCTTGTTCGGCAGCAGCTTGGCGAGCAGCATTGAAAATAGCCTGCATTTTGCCGAACTTGACACCAAAGTCCATGATCTTTCGGAAAGGCTCGGTGACGAAGTTGACCTTGAGGGACCCGGAGCGCAGATATATGGACGAGTCGTAGCCCGGATACGCGCCGGAATCTGCATCGAACGTCTCGTAACTGAAATCGGCAAGTTCTTCCCCCTGAATGGTAACAAGTTGGCGCAAGGAAGACTCCTCAGAAACGCCTTGGTTGACATCATCAATGAGAGATAGGTTTCCAAGTCTAGCGCCTACACGCATGGTCTTGCCCATCAAGAAAACACCGACGTCCGCAGTACTCAGACTTAGTGTGGCCAGGCGGATTCCATCGTTGTTTAGGATCACTGCGATCTTGCTGAGCCGGGCCTTGACGCGGATTTTGTCAGGGTCTGCGTCCGTAGGTCGAACCACTTCCTTTGTCTTTTCTCCTTCGGAAGCTTGCTCCAACTTCTTTCGATCCGGTGATGGTTGGTCGGGGTTCGTGAAAGTAATTAGAATGAAATCCAGCAATGTCAAAAGCGTCTTCCGGGTAACTATGAGATTGATAGTTGACACGTCCACGTCCAGGTTTGTCGCGATACCTTCGTACTTTGACATGAACTCGGGAGATTCTTTGTTGACTTTGACAAACTTGAGTTGGAATAAATCTTTTTGCAAAGACTCGCTCATATCTTCCGAGGACACCAGGTTCTTAAACTCTGGTAGAGGATTTTCCTCGACGTGGTCTTCAACGGCCAGAGTTTGCAGCCGGACGTCAGCAACCATGTCAAAAGGCCTCTGGTAGAACTCAAGATAGAAATGTTCAGCAACAAGTTCGACGAGCAGCTGATCGGCCTTCTTGCCATCAGGATCTGAGCGGTACAATGATCCCTGTAGTTTGTCCACAGTGAACTTGAACTCAAAGTTCCGTTGGTGAATGTTGACCTTGTGCTCCTTTTTGCCTTCAGATGCCTCATGGAACTCTTCGTCCACAGTAGAAGCACCATCTGACTCCATGACAAGCTCATGCTCTTGAGACGCAAATTGGAATGATTTAGACGGGCTTTTCCCAAGTGCTTCTGCTTCCTTGTTGACATCCTCGATAGGCTTGAGGTTCGACGGCCCGGAAGCCCCTTCTTCAACCTCTTTGTTGGTCAGGCCTTCGTCTTCGAACTTGGGAATGGCAACGTCAATCAACTTCATAAGAGCTTTGTACTTGGAGTCGGAAACCGATGCATGGAGGACTGGCAGGTGACCGGCAATGCGGAATTTGGTCAGGTCCGATGCCTTCGGAATGATGCATGTCTCCACAGTAAAGTCGACATTGATACGATCAACAAGATGGAAGTTTTTGGAGGAGGAATTCTCCACCAATTGCGCTTTGGTCTCTTCTATTGAGGGGCCAATGAGGACTTGCGTAGAATCCAGCTTCAGCGAGAACCTGTCATACATGAGATTTTCTAGACGCCGGAAGTCTTCGTCTGTATACTCTTGTTTCGACTTTGACTGAATGTCTTTCAGAGTATCTTTGTCGACAAGCTCGCTGCTGACACTAGCATGACCTGCATCAAGGATGAGGCAGATGCTACACTTTTCAGTGACAGAATCTGGAACTATGATCAGAGGGGCTTGCAGATCGAGCTGGGCATCGATGGTCTTGTGTTCCTCAAGCGCGAACTCAAGGCCGGCACGGGTTTGTTGACGGATTCCCTCTACCGTCGCACCGGCCGTCTCCATGAGTGCACCAATGGATTCCATGTGGCGCTCTGGAGGTTTGAAGAATTTTGCCACCTCGACAATGAACTTGGGATTGTACACCACTTCCATGCCCTTCAACTTGACAGTAAGAGCAGTGTCTGCTCGTCCGTCCAATGGGTTGTTCTCAAAAGCAAGTTGGAAGAAGGGCTCCGCCGCTTCCTCCTTCTCCTCATCCAGATCTTCAGAGGCGTCATCCAAATCTTCAATCCGTTTGTCGTCTGGTACTGGGGGTGCATCTTTTATCGTGATGATTTGAGGGAACAAGCTGCCTTCGGTAGTACCATCATAAAGACGCATGCCCTCAAGGTTCAGTTCGGCCAGCAAAGAATCTGTTCGCTGCAAGACCTTTGTGCTGAACGAATCGAAGAGCAGGCGAAGAATCTCAGTTCCTTTACCATGTGGATCACGCTTGAGCGTGAAACTACCGGTGCGAAGGCTCATTTCCACTTGCATCTTCACGTACTCCTTCGGCATGTCCACGGCCTCGGTCAGCTGCTTTTTCTCATCCCAGTCGATGGCATCATACAGCTCCTTGCGTTGCTGCTCAGACATTTGACTGTCGTCTGATTGATCCGATTCCTGTGACTGGCCACCACCCCATATCCACTGGGACCATGACTGTTTTGGGGGCTCCTTTTTGACACCGACGTTCTCCTTTCGGAGCTGGTTGCGGGCAAGCGATCGCCAGAACCGCAGATCCTCGTAGGAAAGTTTATGCTCCAACTTGTCTAAATCTTCAGTGTCCGCGGGTGAAAGCCTTTCTTCTTTTTTCTTTTGCTTAAAAAGCTCAATGTACCGTCTACGGTCATCTCGCCTCTCCTTGAAAAAGTCCCAAGTCCATCGCCGGTTCCTGTCATGGATCTTTTCCAGCACAGCTTTGCCGGCAAACTGGAGCCATGCTCTAGGGTCTTCCTTGGGCCGGCTTTTAGGCTGGAGCCTTTTGTACTCCTGGTGCCTGATGAAGTAGTGGAACAGATCAACTAGCATCAAAGCGTCGCGATATTGATCTTCGTCGATGACGAAACCAAGTTCGTCAAACAGTAATCGAGCTTTGACCTTGGGCCTGTCCATTTTGCCTGTTTTGTCCATCTCAAGACCTGCCCTACCGCTGACAGGCTTCAAGATAAACTGATGATCCGCTACACTGGAGCTGTCACCTTTTACAATCATGCTTCGAAGCTTCTGCACAAACTCCTCATGATCTAAAGCCTGTTGCGCTCCCGTTCCTGAGCCCAGCAGCTTCGCGTCCGTATCCCAGTATATAGCCAAGGAGCCGAGTGTCGCGAGCTTGTGGGTCGAGGAAGAGGTGCTCTGAATGAAAGTCGGCTTCCAGTTCTCGTCTGTGCTGACAGCACTGAGCTCGTCGAGCGTGAATCCCAGGGAAAACGGGTGACCGGGATCCGAAATGGAGTCCTCGTAACGGACATGAACGTTCTTGACGCTGACCTGGACATTGTCCACAATGGCCGTCACCAGGCTTGCCGTAAAGCTCTGATTCTTCTGTTGTTCCTCAGCACTCATGCCTTCCGTATTCCTTTCCTTTAACAGCTCGGCACTGTCCAACTTCTCCATCTTGATCGCATGCGCCCGCTTGTCCTGTTCCTCGGCGTCGTATTCGGCGTCCTCTCGCGGGGCAGCCAGCAAGAAAACATCTTCGATGCTGACCCGCACGGGCTTGCCTCTCAAGTTGGACCATGGTATTGAAAGCGTGAGCTGGCCGAGGTGGCCTTGAATGACGTTCAGCGGAAGGTGAAGCTGGTCCAGTGCCTCTCTGCGTAATTCGAGGTCACGAAGTTTGACATCTCCAGACCAGATGCCAACATTGAGCTGCTTGGGATCAAAGTTCTGGACATACATGCCCAAGAACCGATTGAGCAGGTTGGCAACAATTCCCTCGAGCATGGTTGCTTAAAATTGCCGTGACCCGGGCCGGGTGGGTGACGGGTGATTCTGTGAAGTTGACGAGATAGAGCGTGTTGCAACGTTAAGCCATGTGCGCAGAAAAAATGTATGTCATGAAAGGGTATCAATCAGGTAGACGTGAAATCGTGAGGTGGTGTCGAAGAGGTGGTGTGGTTAAGATTGTCCGCTAGGTGTTATACCCCACCGACGCCTGAGAGAACGCGCTCGTCTGAATCGCAGAAGGTGGAGCAGGAACGGTTTCAACGCGCGCGGGAGAGAAAATGGCGGGAGAGGTGACTCGAGAGAGAGGAAAAAACCGAGGAAAGCAGAGATGTTGACGCGAAAGAAACACCACGCGGCCCGTGGCTTGTTTCTGATGAGCTGGACGAGAAATGACGTCGCCGATCTTTGACGTGGAAGGCGTTCACGTTCGCAGCAGACAGCACGTGATTGCGAGAGCATTCGTCCCGAGCGAATTTCACTGGGTCATGTCTCTCCAAGTCTCAACGCAAACGCTGCCAACGGCTTCCGTACCCGCACCTCCACAGCTCCGCATTCAGCCCCACCCATCTCTCGCCCTTTGAAACACGACAGCCATGGGTTGGTGGTGGAAGTCTGATCCTCAGACACTCGTCCCCGCGCCGACACCCTCCCAATTATCGACCAGCGCCCACGACGTAGACAAGCCAGCCGCCAATGCTAAACCCCTCACTCGAGAGGAGCAAGCTGATGCCGAGCTCAAAGCCTTCCTCTCCGAACTCGAAGCTTCCACCAGAAGTCCCACAGAGCACGACTCCACGAGTATTGTAGATGCCGCAACGCCCACGCCTGCCGCATCAGGTACGGCATCTACAACCCGTTCTCTCTACCCCACAACCATGTCCTGCCGCGATGCCTTTGATGCCGCCTTCTACTGCCAGTCATTGGGTGGCCAGTTCAACAACGTGTACCGCTATGGAACACTGCGCTCCTGCAGCGAGCACTGGAACGACTTCTGGTTCTGTATGCGGACAAAGTCATACGGGGATGCTGACAAGGCCAAGGTGGTTGGGGAGAGGTATCGAGAGAAAGAGAGGAAATACAGAGAGGGCCCAAGCAGTGAGGACGTATGGGAAGAGCGGAAACCCGGAGAAGAGCTACGCAACGCCTTCATGAAGGATCCTGACGAGGTGGATATACCGGGCTTGCCAAAACGGAAAAGGCAAACAGAATGAAGAGATGTACGATAGTCATGGAACGCGCAAATAGGCGTTACATCAAAAATATCTGGATAGCGTTGCATCATGCTAAGATACCCCGAGTACTTTATTAGTTTAACTTCACGCCGTCTACTCTACACGTATTTGTGCTACGGCTACAGGGATAGATATTGTTATTTGTATCTCTACAATAAGCGGCGGTTTGTAGAACCAGAAGAGTATGAGGCACTCCGAATTTGAATATTACTCTACTTGATAGGAGAATGCAGGTGTGATTGTAATGCCTTTCAATCGCTCCCCACAGGTCACTTAAGTAGGTATAAAGGCCGCACTCCTGGTCAGATGCGTAGCTCATGAAGCTATATACACTATAACAATAACTACAGCTCGCACAAGTCTGATTAGCATACCAGAACCAATCACAACGCACTTCACATGTGATGTACAGCAAAACCAATATGAACTTTTGAAATCTTGAATTTCGCATCGTAGATGCGCGCTCATTAGACTACAAGTAGCCATGTGCAGAAACTTTTCCGCCTATCATGATGTCATGAAAAAGAAAAAACCCGATGCTAAATGAGCAAACCCAAACCCGGAGAGCTCTAAAAACTCCAAACCGCCATCATAGATGGAAATCTATGCCGAAAGGAAGACTGGATGAAAGCAAACGCTCGCACATACTTAGTCGACCTCCTCGACAGTGGGGCCGTCGTCGCCGCCGGGAGCAGCACCGCCGGGAGCAGCACCGGGCATACCGCCGGGCATGCCACCCTCGCCACCAGAGCCGTAGAACTTCATCATGATGGGGTTGGCAATACCCTCAAGCTCCTTCTGCTGGGACTCGTACTCGTCCTTGGTGGCCTGCTGGTTGTCGTCGAGCCAAGCAACGGTCTTGTCGATCTCAGCCTTCAGCTTCTCCTTGTCGCCAGCCTCGAGCTTCTCGTCGACCTTGGAGTCGGAAAGGGTGTTGCGGAGAGAGTAGGCGTAGGACTCGAGAGCGTTCTTGGCAGAGATACGAGCGGCCTCAGCCTCGTCCTCAGCCTTGTACTTCTCGGCCTCCGCAAGCATGCGCTCGATGTCCTCCTTGGACAGACGGCCCTTGTCGTTGGTGATGACAATCTTGTTGGTCTTGCCGGTACCCTTCTCAAGAGCGGAGACGTTCATGATACCGTTGGCGTCAACGTCGAAGGTGACCTCAATCTGAGGAACACCACGGGGCGCAGGGGGGATGCCAGTGAGCTCGAACTTGCCAAGCAGGTTGTTGTCCTTGGTGCGAGCACGCTCACCCTCGAAGACCTGGATCAGGACACCGGGCTGGTTGTCCGAGAAGGTAGAGAAGGTCTCGGACTTCTTAGTGGGGATGGTAGTGTTGCGCTTGATCAGAGGGGTCATGACACCGCCAGCAGTCTCGATACCGAGAGACAGCGGCGACACGTCGAGAAGAAGAATCTCGTTGGTGGACTTGGAAGAAGTGTCACCAGACAGGATAGCAGCCTGGACAGCGGCACCGTAGGCGACAGCCTCGTCGGGGTTGATGGACTTGTTGGGCTCCTTGCCGTTGAAGAAGTCGGAAACGAGCTTCTGGATCTTGGGGATACGGGTAGAGCCACCGACGAGGACGATCTCGTGGACAGAGCTCTTGTCGATCTTCGCGTCGCGAAGGACACGTTCAACAGGCTCCATAGTGGAGCGGAAGAGGTCCTGGCAAAGCTCTTCGAAGCGAGCGCGGGTGATCGAAGTGTAGAAGTCGATACCCTCAAAGAGTGAGTCGATCTCGATGGAGGTCTGGGCGGAGCTAGACAGAGTGCGCTTGGCACGCTCGCAAGCAGTGCGGAGACGACGAAGAGCGCGGGCGTTGGAGGTCAAATCCTTCTTGTGCTTCCTCTTGAACTCGTTGACGAAGTGGTTGACAAGACGGTTGTCAAAGTCCTCACCGCCAAGGTGAGTGTCACCAGCAGTGGACTTCACTTCGAAGATACCCTCCTCAATGGTCAAGAGAGAGACATCGAAGGTTCCGCCACCAAGATCGAAAATGAGGACGTTGCGCTCACCGGTGGTCTTCTTGTCGAGACCGTAGGCGATGGCAGCGGCAGTAGGCTCGTTGATGATACGGAGGACGTTGAGACCGGCGATCAGACCAGCATCCTTGGTAGCCTGGCGCTGGGAGTCGTTGAAGTAGGCAGGAACGGTGACGACAGCGTTGTTGACGGTGCCACCAAGGTAGGACTCAGCGGTTTCCCTCATCTTGGTCAGGACCATAGACGAGATCTCCTCGGGAGTGAAGACCTTCTCCTCGCCCTTGAACTCAACCTGGATGACAGGCTTGCCGGCCTTCTCGATGATCTTGAAGGGGAAGTGCTTCATGTCGGCCTGAACCTCAGCATCGTTGAACTTGCGGCCAATAAGACGCTTGGCATCGAAGACGGTGTTGGCGGGGTTCATGGCGACCTGGTTCTTGGCGGAGTCACCAATCAGACGCTCGGTGTCTAGGAGAGAGTCAGCGACATGTTCAAAACGGGCAAGAAGCAGGCTGGGGATACTAACCAGTGAAGGCGACGAACGAGGGCGTGGTGCGGTTGCCCTGATCGTTGGCGATGATCTCAATGCGGTCATCGCGGAAGATGCCCACGCAAGAGTAGGTAGTACCAAGATCGATACCGATGGCGGGAGCCATTTTGAAGGTGAAGTTGTGCGAAAGGTCTAGGTGGAGCGGGTATCAAAGAAGAGTAAAAGGCAACAGAAAGAGTCGTAAACCGTGCCGCAGAAAGCTGAAGAGCCTTCGTGAGAGTGCTTGTGAGAGATTGTGTGTGATGTGTAGAGGGAATGGAGCGTTGTTGGTGGGCGGATGGTACTTAAGTAAACTTTGTTGGCGGAAGAAGGCTCTGGAAGGTGGTCGAAAGCCCACCGCCACAGCACCTTCCACGGTTTTCCAACGCGCACAGCAACTACGTATGATTTTCAATGGAGCCTTCTCGACGCTACTAGCCGGCTCCGGGCTGTGCCAGCGGCTTCCGCACTGCAATTTCCGCCCCCCGCCGCTCTCTGCATGCTTTTTCGCTATGACGCACGTCTGCCCCTCCAGCTTCTTCCACGCTGTGGCTTGAACGCCCTAGCTGTGGCTGGTGTCGCGCTATCGATAACGCGCCCCAGCCTGCACCAGCCCCCGCCGCACCCTGCTTCTCTGGCTCGATACGAGTTGACTTCTTGGCCCGCCTTGCAGGGATTGTTGCCTCGTTGATTCGCGAGCTGGCCTCCTCCGCTGTCCATGTCAACATGCAGTCAAGCTCGGCCACGACAGTCAAGCTGATCGGGCTCTAAACCTGGCTAAGGAGTAATCTGTGGGGAGCGTAAAATTCATCTACACGTTCTTAAGAGCTGATTCGTCCTACTTCGATCGCAAGCTCTAGGCCTGGTTAAGGGCCGACCTGTGTGAGGTGTAAAATCTACTTGCACATCCTTGGTAGCTACTTCGTCCTACTTTGGACACATGCTCCAAGCCTGGCTAAGGGGTAAGCTGTTTACTTCGGATATAAGCTTTATACCTGGCTAAAGAGTGACCTGTAGGGAGCGTAAAGTCTACATACAGGAGCATGTAACTATGGTTATAGTATTTACAAGATTTGAGTTAGAAAGAGGCTTGAAGTACTTTCGCTTCTACGTAGTACCGCTTACTATGGGAATGCAAATAAAAATATCTTTCTAAACAGTAAAGTGTCTAGAAAAGCTATTGGACCTCTACAGTCTTTCGAGTACAAAACTTAGCCGCAAAATTCCATGTTTGCGCCAAAACTTATTACAATATTCGAAGATAGTTATAGCTGTATACCCTTACTCCTTCACGCCATTAGCTTCGCAGGGCCTCGATCGCGCACGGCGTATTATCAACTTTCACAGGACTACTTATTACTCAGCAGAACTCTTATCGCGCACCTTTAACCTTCGCGTCTGGTCACGTAACTTACTTATAGCTAATTCTAACTCCGAAGTCAAGCCTGAAGCTATTATAGAATAACGCAGTAGCAGCAAAACGTGCCGTCGCCGTAAATAGCTATCATTAATCTACTTAGAGCACACCAGACGTGTTGCATAACTAGGTATAACAAACCTTTACAACCTCTACATCGCTTTAGAGACTAACTCTAAAAAAGAAGGCCTTCTCTGTAAAGCCAATATTACTTATAATTTCTACACACTCGTCCGTAGAGACTACCCCTCTACTACTAACTATAGGCGCCGGATAATTTGACCGCCCCCTTTGGATATTTTGACCACCCTCTTTCCGCCTACCAGCTTCGGCAGTATTCGGCAGAAAAGAAGAAATGGATTGGTTACTCTACGGCAACCGACAGGAAGTAGGTAACACAAACATGTGACCTAACTCTACCTACTAATCCGTACTACACTTCTAAATAATATAACCAAGCGCAGTAAAGTTAAATTTACGGAAAACGTTTAGGAAAAGCATGCGGGAACAAATAGCGTAGTAGTAGCAGGCTTAGTAGAAGATAAAGGCATAAACTAGGTAGTATAAGACACGAAATCGCTCGGGTTAGATATCACGTGGGGCGGTCAAAATATCCAAGAGGGGCGGTCAAATTATCCGTCCCCCTAACTATATCAGTCCTTTCGCAAGGCCAAGATCTCTATAGAATGTATTACCTAGCAGGTTAATAACCGCATCTACTACGTTATCTTCTTTCAGTAAACTCCCGAAGATATACCTATAAAAGCTACTACCAATAACAAATACTGGCACGACGGTAGGGCCCCTCGAACTAAGTTCTTTTTGGTAGGTATTGTAGCTACTATAAGTGAGAGTCCGGAGAAACGCGATGAGCCTCATTGAAAGTTTAGATAACAACAAGGCCCACGCAGAAGATAATTCAAGTCCGACAACAAGAACAGGCGTCGTCGCTACCAGCACTGCAGGGGACGTTAATTCAAGGATGATTGCCACCATTTTCACCCTAAAAAGCGCCCTGCTTGCTTTAGCGCACTAACATTCATTGACTTCGTAGAGAGCGACAATTCAAGCTAGCGCTATTAGCAACTGAATACTGGCTGCTAGCAGGACCAATTCTGCCAATCAGCGGGCCCAGCGGCGCTAGGTAGTGCCAAAGTCCGCCTTCAGCGACTACATGTCCATCTCTCCGCTCACAATAAATAGCCCCGAGGCCACAAAGACTGCCATTGGCAAATCCAGCAACTCACTCACTTGTCCGCTGCATGATGACACTAGCACTACAACCAATAATACTTTCAGAAACGTCTTACATATCCCTAATTAGCCTTTCAGCGTCTTTTCACTGGACCGATTGCAGATCAAGGGCGTCTCTCTGTTCAAAAAAGACTTATTCGACATTTCATGCGACCAAATATTTGCTCACTGCGACGTCGAAACCCACTTCTACTACCTTCACACTGCTAGCAAGTCTACAGCCAACACCAAGCTGGCGGCTTCTCTTGTCGCCCTGCCAAGCAGGAGGATAAGCTGAGGGCCGGCAACATCAACATGCCGATTAGGACATGGAAAGAAGGCTTACAACAGCACTTACACGCTTTAATCGCGTCCGGAGCCTTCGCACGCTCAGCAGTTAACTGATTACTGATCAACTAACTACGCGCGGAGCACTCATAACAATCATATAACAACAGCAGCAACAACACCGCAAAAGCAACCTCCAAAATAAGACCAGCACGACTCCCCGACTCTTAAATATGAATGCAGCTTTTCCACCAACCTAGGTTTTCCGGTGGCGCCGCAAGCTGCACTGCAGGAACACTAAAAGTTCAGCAGAGATTCAAGCAATCCTCGCTCTAGGGTGTGTGTCGTGCAGATAGCTTACTTGGTTTATATAGCTTAGCGCTTACTTTTAGTATCAGCGCTGCTTCATCTTCGCAGCAGTGCTCGCTACTTGAGCAGTATTCAGCCCTTTTTTTTTTTACCTTGTTGCTCAACACAACAAACCATAAACCCCACCAGAATACGGCCACTGGTGGAAGGGGGAGTGCTCTTATACTGAAATTTGAGGGTTCAAGTATGTATAACACAATCTTTAATCAAATAGAAAAATGTCGCTTTTAACGCCACTTGCGTAGTGTAGTGAAAGTCAAGATCCTACCCGTGACACTGATATCTCCGTTGCCAGACTTGCGAAGTCCACTCTCGATGATGCCTACGACGCCATGCAACACTTATGGAGTAGCATCAGCGGTAGCATGGACACGAGCACTAGGGACAGCGGCACAAGGGCGCTGCAGTGATGCCGGCACCGGCGGGCCTCCTGCGTGTGAGAAGGAGGTAGCTGACTAGGAGTATGTCCCTGCTGCGTCAGCCGCCCACGCTGGTTTGAATCGCTACTAGGAGAAGGCCGTGCCAACAGTGTCAGTGCTGGTGCCTCCGCCGAAGCCCCTTCCTTCATATAGTTGTACAATGTCCTCCTGGCTCACTACCACTTTCACGCGAAAGAAAAATGTTGTTGGAAGTGGAGACAGTGGCCATGGAAGTGCTCAATGTAAACAATAGATTGTAAGTAGTAGAGGCTACCCTTGACGTCGCAGTGAGCAATTAGCTTTTTGTTCTTCCGTAATTTTTTGACGAAGAGAGATGCCGTTGGCCTGTAATCGACCCAACGAGAGAACGCTAAACGACTGATCGGAAGCGTGTAGAATATTGCTGCAGTAATATAAGTTGTATTGCCGTTCTGCAGCGGGTAAGTGAACGAGATATTATCTCTACCAGACGCAACCCTCGCCACTCCTAGATTATTTTCCCATTCTGCACTACAATGTACCTATAAAAGTATAGGACTTGCTCTTTATCCTTATACTTCTATATCCTTATAAGTTTCCGAGTAATTTTATGGTATACAAAGTATACTTTACTTTATATATAATTGAGGAGTGGGTAAAATATCTAGAAGGGGTGGGAAAATTATCCGGAGATAAATTGCTGACGGTGCTTACTTTACTATCAGTATTGTTGTTGTTGTTAGTATCATTGTCAGCGTGGCGGTACTACAGCCAGAGGGGAGATATTGTTAGTTCATCCTTACAGTGAGCGGTAATTCACAGCAGCCAAAGCATACCCAATTGCTTTGGATTTAGATATTGTAGTTACTGCAGTCAAACCTATATGCCCTGTAAGTAGATGAGAGCGCTCCCTGTAGATTACTCCTTACGTAGACGCAGAGCTTGCGTTTGTAGCTAATTTTATCGCTCGTGACCGTATGTAGATTGTAACAATATCTCCCCCTCCGATCGTAGTAACCGACGTATTCGACATCAGTGCGCTAGGGATTCCAGCTACAAAGCGATTGTCGGGGTCAAGATAGAAGTGATCTTCCATTGAGTGACGTCTTATAAAATGCTGATGCTTGTGGTGTTTGCCTTTGGAAATCGAGATTGGAGCCGGACGTCGTGATTGCTGCAACCTTTGAATGTGAGTTGAGGACGCGACGGACCCCAGCGAAGATCTCGCCAGTCCATGGGCAAGTCGTTACGCATAGAACGAAGAAAGATGACGGAAACTGATGAGGTTGTCAAGTTTAGCCGTAGTAAACGAATTCAAACGAGTCAAACAGTGAAATCACTCCACGCTCCGGAGTTAAAGTTCATTTCTCCGCTCGTCTCCAGTTCGTCGTTTGGCTACAGCCAATCATCGCGCAGCTGTTACACATCCCAGGGTCTGTCCCCATGCATCATTTGAGCATGGCCTGATATCACGGTGTACCGAAGCACCAATAAAGGTACGGGGATAGCTCCCTTACTTCAAGCCATCTCCCCGCAATGTCGCTCAAGCTACCCATCTTCTCTGTGCTCATAGCGATTGCAATTGCTATCCTCATCAGGAAACCACCCATCATGTCGCAAAGTATTCCCGCAGGACAGCTTTGGGCCGATGGCCCATGCCCGCTGATACATACCCCGCAATATGAGACGAAGAAGGTTGGTACGCTCTGTCGTTTCACTGAAAACGTTGGTACTGACACTACAACAGGACGACATCTGGACGAAGGGCGCGACTCACATGGCTCTGCTCCACAATGCGATCCTCCGCGGCTTCAACTCTGTATACCTGCAAGCACCGCACGTGAAACCGGTAGACTACGCCGACTTCGTCGGTTACAGCGAGGCATGGTTCAACTTTGTAAAAAGCCATCACGACGACGAGGAAGCCGAGCTCTTCCCAAAGGTCGAGGCGGTTCTGAAAGAGAAGGGCATTTGGGACGAGACCCACAAGGAGCACGGTGAGTATTGTCGCACTCGATCACATCGTGGCACCATGTCTGATCTGAACGCCTTCCAGAATCCTTCCTAGAGGGCCTCGCGGCCTTCCACACCTACCTCTCCTCGCTTGAGTCGCCGGCCGCGTTCTCCGGCGCCGAGCTCGTCCGAATCATGGATACCTTCCGTGAACCCTTCAATAATCACTTCCACTCCGAGATCAGCACCATTGCCGCATTTGCCGACCTGCCCTCGGCTCCAGCACCAGACAGCGAAGCCACTGAAACGGCAGCTGCGACCTTCAAGGCATGGGGGAAGAAAACGCTGACCAAGGCAGGCATGACGGACGTGGTGCCGTTTGCTCTGTTGAACTTGGACACGACGTATGAAGAAGGGATGTGGGCGACCTGGCCGCCAATGCCAGGCCCGATTCGTTGGATGCTTGTCAATGTGTTTGGAAGCTGGAACTGGGGATGGTGGAAGTTCAGCAGCTGCGATGCCGCGGGAACCCCGAGGCCTTTGTACGCGCTGCAAAACACGGAGACACGGCAGGAGAGCGAGCTCTGAGAGGGGACCAAGTGGACTCGCTCAATCATTCGGTAACAAGGAGATTGGTAGAGCGGAGTAGCAAAGCGCTCAGGAGGCGTGCGGCTGTTCGGGCTTGGATGGAGTTGGTTCGGATTTCTCTAGGACTGATATTGATTCTGTTATCGAGACAGCGAGTGTGCTTGTGTTGACGTGCAGTTCATTGTCGCAAGGACACGATGCAAAAAGTACCGCGGCTCGTCGGGTGGCTCGGCCGAGGCATGCGAGAAGACGTACTACGTATGCACGCAGGTAAATATCTCACAGGACTACGTGGTGGAGGTGATCTACCAGATCCATGAAGCAGGTCATGGCCGGGTAGTGGACGCGGGATTCTAGAAGTTGTCGCTTCTGATACGCGATACGGAGCTTCTGCAACCCCTGACAATCGTTGAGCACTCCAGGTTCACTGCGCTGCGGGATTTGATCCAGACCGACCCCACCATTGCAGCTGTGAACCACAGATCACTTCGAAAGTGATACACAGTGAACACTGGAGTGAGGCCTAACGGCCCCCTCCCTCTCCCCCCCATCCGACGACCTCAAGGACGAAGCTCGGAAAAAACAAAAAAGCAGGCTCGTCGTCATGGTCGACTCTGGGTGGAGGCTGGTGCGTGTGAAGTATTGTTACTATTGTTATTGATTTTGGTGCCTGAGGCAGCCCACCTCACGCAGCCGCCGCGGCCGGCCGGCGGCGGGGGTTGACAAATCCGGAGAAGGGCGTCGTCGAGGTGACGGCGGCGATCTGTTCCATGGGAGCCAGGCATGTCAGCGGCTTGTCAGATGGGGCAGCGCTATGATGCCCCGAGAGAAGTCCTCGGCCTTGATTCAAGGAGTGCTGCTGGCATAACTGCTGGGGCGCGTCTCGTTGAACTCCGGAGGCGTATAAAGGCTTACAACAAACCCGCCGGCTCATCGGCCTTCGCAACCCTCGAAATCCTCGACTAGCTCCGGTGGCTTATCATCCCCAACAAGCCTTTTCCCTCGCACCCGACAAGACTCTCTCACCACCACTCACGACTGTCAAAATGTCCTTCGCCGCCATGGGTAAGCACACTCACGCCCAGATCGATCTCCATCTCCAACCCACGTCCCCGGTGCGCAAGATGCGACCGCTGCTGGTCCTCAGCAGACCTTCCGCTGCCATGACTCAGGCCCCCAGCGTGCCGTCATTGGCCCGCCTGCCGAGAGAAGACTGTCACTGACATGGAAATCGTACGACAGATGCGTTCGAGCGGGTCGTTCACGGCAACAAGTCCTATGCCCGCCGCTCTGCCGAGAGCGAGCCCCAGCTGTGGCAGGCTCTGGCCAAGGGTCAGCAGCCCGAGATCCTCTGGTTTGGCTGTGGTGACAGCCGCGTCCCCGAGACGACCATTTGCGACTGCAAGCCCGGTGACATTTTTGTGCACCGCAACATTGCCAACATCATCCCTGCCAACGACCTGAACTCGGGCTCCATCATCGATTACGCTGTGGGCGCCGTGGGCGTCAAGCGCATCGTCATCTGCGGCCATACCCGCTGCGGCGGTGCCTACAGCTCCCTGGACGACAAGGACCTGGGCCCGACCCTTAACCAGTGGCTGCAACCCCTGCGCGACCTGCGGAGGAAGCACCAAGCCGAGCTTGATCGCCTCGACAGTGACGATCAGAGGGCGATCCGTCTCGCCGAGCTCAACGTCCGCCAAGGCCTTGAGGTCCTCAAGAACAACCCCACCATCCAGCGCGCCATGGCCGAGCGCGGCGTTACCGTCCACGGCGTCATCTTCGACCTCACCACTTGCGAGCTGAGGGTTCTTGAGGAGGAGCAAGCCGCCCCTGCCATCTGGCACCACAGGTAGACGAGGGCACACTGGAGTTTGGGTATGATTTGGGTGGGCTTCAACGCTTAGATTGGTGTTATTTTAGAGGTACTGCTGTTTGTTTTGGATACCAGTGACGGCCATGCTATGGACACAGAGAATCAGAGAGAGATAAGTCACCATACAGTTTACATTTTCTTTTTAGCAATTGAGATCAGCACTCAGCGCCTTGTCCCTGTCCTAGTCGTGAACTAGTCCGCAAATCTTTTTATTGGCACGTCACAGGCCTGTTGCCTGCCTACGAATCAATAATGGGAACGCTCTAGTTTAGCACTGTCCAGCTCATCGTACAAGGAAACTCTTCTCAGCCCATATCGCGCCAGTTGTGTCGCCATGGCGGCCAAATCCGGCCGCTAGCTCTGACAGCAGTCGTAATTGTCGCCGCTCCGGATGACATATGCGCGCCGCGGAATGTGTCTGGTGACTCTAAAGTTTGTGTTATCAGGCGCATACGGGAAAAGAGCTCGGCAAAAAAGAGGCGTCTGAAGGATTGCTGGATTTTCGGCTCCGATGATGACTTTCATCATCTTGTCATTGACTCTCACCTTTTCCTCGCATGAGGCGCAGTCACTGAACCCTTGGATCTCACATAATGCATCGCTTTCTGTCTTACGACTACAGCTGAATCAAGACGGCGTAGCGAATAAACATTGCATTTGAAGGTACCAAGCGAGCACTGCCTCATTGTCTTTCACTACATCTCACTACCTTTTGCCATACTCGCAGCAATAACTAACCGACTCCGGACAACTTGCTCACCATTAACTATTTATATAAGTGTACTGTACCTACCAAGTAATCCTTAAGTAGTTACAATAAGTACCAACACTATAGTTAGTAGTCGCTAGGTAGATATAAGGTGTTAGAATACTTAAAATGATATAAAGGTAAGAACACTAACGTCCGTCACCGACAAGCGAGATTCACCCGAGACAGAGAAAGAGATATAAGCAGTCCCTATAGATCACTCCTTGCCTGCTTATAAGCAAGGTCCTAAATAGGAGTTAGGGGGTTTTAGAGCGCACATATACTATAAGTATCTTAACTGAATTCCTTTTTTTGCTCCGTATAAGTGTTTTTATCTCTCAAGACGATGGATCTTGCTTGACGGTGACGGACGTTGGAGTTTTCCATAAGAATGGGAAATTTTATAAGGGTATGAAGATACTTATAAAGTAGTAAGGATAAAGAGTAAGTTATATACTCTTGCAGATGTTATCACGTAGGGTGGGCAAAATTTCCGGGGTCTAACTAACCACGCGCATAGAAGCCACTTTCATTAAATCTGCTACCAGAGTCATACGGACATACAGAACCGACAATCCAGGTGACAAAAGGGAATGTGAAGCCTAGCAAATGAAACCCACTAACAAAAGGACCAACGCCCCATAGAAGTTTCGCCATCCAGTTCTTTGTTCTCGGCGGACAAATCAGACGTCGACGGACTTCCCGTAGTACTCACACGGCTCCGGATCGCTCTCATTCTTGTTCGCATTGGCGCGCTTGCTCCGGTGCTCACAGATCAGGCGCTTTGTATTGACGACCAGAATGCAGAAAAACATGGTCATAAGAACTATACACACGATGCCCAAGGCGATTTTGGTGTTGGTCCACACCGTGAACGACTCCGTATTACCCGATTTGCTGATGACGGTGATCTCGGGCGCGCGTGGAAGGACGGTAGGAGTGTAGGGCGTGAGAATCGAGAGTGGGTCTTTAACGCCAGTGGGGGGACTGGCAGTGATGGTGCTGAAGGTGGAATCGCTGACAGTGCCGAACATGGAAGCAGATTTCGCAGCCTCCTCGGACAAAGAGGCAAGGATCTTGCTCTTGACGCATGACAGGCAAGGTTCTTCGCGGCGTTCAATACCAGCACCATCAACTGCGTCATCGGAAAAGATATCGTCAATTCCAGCAGCACTGGTAATAGGACCTGCGACTGTTCGACTGCGGGTGGGTGTCTTGTGAGACTTGGTAGTCGTGCAAGCTTCCGCATGGCGCTCCAGGCCGTCGTTGGCGAAGATCTCGTCGATTCCAGCGGTGGCAGCCGCGTTAGCAGCCGGAGTAGAGGCTGCGGCTTCCTGGGTGCGAGAAGAGGATGCCTTATGACGCCTGCTCGTCTCGCAAGCTACGGCAAGACGCTCCAGGTCGTCATTGGCAAAGATGTCGTCAATCCCAGCAGTAGCAGCCGTATTGACAGCCGTAGTAGAAGCCGCGACTGGGTGCCTGCTGCGATAGGAGGGCGTCTTGTGGGGCTTAATTGTAGGGCAAGCTTTTCCACGACGTTCGAGGGTGTTGGTGGTGGAGATAGGAGTCGGGGTCGTGTCGGCAGACTCTGAGATGTCGCGGTTCTGACGATAACTAGAGAAACCGAGCCTGGAAATAACTGAGTACGTCATCTTGGGGAGAATTTTGACAAAGGAGTTCTGGGTCTGGGAGGGCGAAAAGGAGTGAGCGTGTCCTATGGAGAAGACAATAATGCGGGGGAAGAAGGTGTACTATTAGTAGTCGCAGAGTGAAGTGCTGAAACATGGTGGCCATTACTGCTCTGATCTGTTGACGAAATCATAGTGATACAAACGATATTTAAACCTACGAAAAGGTGAAAGTAAGAGATCATGGACTGGACGATATTCTCTTACTGTGAAGCCAATGATGCATGTTAGTGGGAGACTTTCGTTGGGTAAATCACAGTGTATAGAGATGAGCGACTGAAATTCTTCCAGGTGACGTAAAGTGATATCCCGAGCCGATTTTAACCATTGCTATACGGTCAAACCTGGTTACAACGTTTGAGCCGGTCAACAAATTCATACCCATAGAAAGATATTCATCAATATATCCGGCTACAGTTTGCATAGCTTTTCGCATACCTATGCCATTCTAACGAGCGAGACGTTTCGAATAGTCAACGCTAGCCTTCAACAGTCGGAAGCTGCTGACCAGCCGAACCGTTGTAGCCAGTTTGGACTGTAAAACATTTGAAATTGAACGTCAGTGACCCATGGTAGTGGGTGCGGGGAGGCGGTTATGTGGTCCGTTCCGCTCATCCGCACCAACGGATAATACCAATAAGCAAGGATCGGTCGGTTGAGTGCATCAGAAAAAGACTTTCATTTAATCATCCTCCAATCCACGACGCCACAGCCCAAGGGTGATTTATCACCCCCATCTGCGGTGTTCTCTCCAGAGCGAAAGCCATGAATTACACCCCCTCACTCGTCATCCATGCAAACCCAGTTGCGCGAGAAAGACAGTCTTGGCGACGGTCACATCAGGAAGCTGATAAAAGATCAGGAATAAAAAAAAAGTTGTCGCCACCGGTCCTTTTTATGAGATGCTTTGATGCAGTCGCGCTGAATGATTACATGGCCGCCCAGGAACCGTGAAATCCAAGCAAGATGCAGAAAACATCAATGCCAATTCTTAGGCCTCTCCAAAGGACAAATGTGCCGCCAGTGCGCTGAATGTCAATAAATGTTCGTAAATCGTCCAAGAAGGGCATATCCAAAGGCCGTTGCCGTTGCCGAATCGTTAAAAGTCGTAATGGGTACATGAGAGTCGTGAATCGAAGGGGGTTTCAGGTCTCTTGGGGTTATGTGGTACTTTGCTTTTGGGAAATTTGCGGCCTGTTGTTGTTGCTTCTACGTTCGTGGTGGTAGACCGTAGAAGAGCAGATTGGTCCCTCAGCGCCAGCCACCGTCTCGAAGGCACGATGAGCACCTTTCATACGCTCTGACTTCTCCTCTCCCGCAGTAGCAGCTCCCGGTGGCAGACTTGCTTGATCGTCTGCTCTCAGTGTCCAAGCCGTAGTCGCTGCTCCGCGGGCTACTGCCACCGCTGCCAGCTTCGGCGTAGCCACTACTCGAGCTGTCGTAGTCGTTGGAAGACGAATATGTGCTTCGGCGGCCGGTGCCAATGGCGACGGGTAGGCCTTGTATGATGCCGCCCTGGCCCTGCCTCTGGCCAGGGTACATGCCGTCGTTGACGGAAAAGTTGCGGCAGATCATGTAGGCGCGAGTGGCGGCGGCATTGCGGGCGAGCTCGTCCGACTCGTACTCGGCGTCGGTGGTGTATTCACGGTTGTTGACGCGGACGGTGCAGGTGTAGCCCTGGCGGGTGCGGTAACATTCGTACAGCGGGTCGGGCCAGTGGCGGCGCTGGCACAGGCCTGGGGATCGGGGCGTCAATATGGAAAGCAAAGCAGGACCAATTGGAGAGAGGTCGGCTCACCGGTCAGGTACATTATGTAGAACATGGTTGGGCGCTACGATTGCGGCGCTCGTGGCGGAGGTAGCACAAGAAGCTGAAGATTGGCCGGAAACGGAAGCAGCAGCAGAGGGGGCAATTGGAAAGGGGAAAGAATGGTTGGCGGCACGGCGAGGTAGAAAAAGGGTCGGGCAGCCTCGACCGCGCGGGACGGCGAGCTTTATTGCAGCGGGCTCGCCTGCAGCTGGGTGCATTGCCTCGGGACGCTGAGGCTCTGGGAGAGCTTCAGACCCATAGCTGATGTGTTGGCGCGCATCTGGGCCACTGGCCAGAGAGGCAGACAGTCTGATATCGACGACGGGCAACGTTTCGCACTGCACGAGGTTGGCGTGATTGGCGCAGGACGTTGGCGATCGGCGGGCGAGGTGTGATGGGCGGAATTAGGGTTGGCCCATGGCAACAGGCGACTAATGCGGTGCGTCAGAAATAACGGCGCGGGTTGAAGAAGAGTGGCTTGCGGAGATTGAGCGTTTGACAGCAGCCTGCCTCATGCACAGTGAGTTGGCAAGCAAGAGGTGGAACTATTCTCATGCGCCCTCGTCCGCAAACGGGAGACGGGAGGGGAGGCGGTGGATGGGTGGCTAAAGTCACCGGCCACGACTAAAAAAGTAACCGAGAGAGGTGCGGGGGGACACACGCGCTCGGCGGGAAGGGGAATGCCCGGATGGAAGCTCGACGGTTGGCGCCGGCGGGTGGGGGAGGGAGAGCGCGGGGTCCCGCCATCCCGGAGGGCCCGGCCCCATAACTTTTTTGTTTTGTCCATATGTATGTATTTGACATCATCGCCATCCATTGGAATTACTTTCTCTCTTTCCCTCTATCTCTCTATCTTCTCCTTCACTTCTCCCTCACTCATCACTCACAACACCCCCCCCCCCCCCCTCCTCGTTCTCGCATCCACGGCGCACAACAGCCTCAGCTCCCCTAGTCCCGTGCAACATGGCCACCAAACCCATCAATCGCGTTACCCTGTTCAAGATCCCGAACAAAGGCGACATTCCCGCCATCCTGGACAAATACACGACGCTGGCCGTCGATGCAAAGAAGGTATGACCGAGTCCGCTCCGCCGGTACCTCGCCCGCGTCTCGCCCCGCTCCGGTGGGCCAGTCTTGTCCCCCATCCCGGCACGCGCGTATCCACCCTCTCGCTCATGCTGCCGCAGGACAATAAGCCCTACATCCTGTCTGCCAAGGCGTCGCAGGTCATTGACGACCCCGCCGGCCGCAACCAGGGCTACACCGTCGCCGCCCAGACGTGCTTCGCCTCGCTCGACGACATGAAGTTCTACGACGAAGAATGCGAGGCGCACAAGGCCATCAAGGTCTTCCTGAAGCCCAAGGCTGAGGGCGTCATGACGGTCTATTTCGAGGCCGACAGCACCTCGAACCTGTGAGGGCAGGAGAAAGCGGGGCAGCCTTCATAAAACAATAGACAAACGGAAAGTAATGGCTCGGTGCCTACCAGATAGCTTTCCGATTCGGATTCGCGCTCAATGCCATGATTAGCAACTAGTGGTACACTTGTTTCACGCCAGACGAGACACTCCCCACTGTCCTGACCCAACGTCCAACTGGCAGCTTCACGCTCCAACGCGACCGTCCAAACCGCCACCGTCTCAGAACCCAGCCTTCTTCTCAAAGTACGCCCGCGCCGTCTCAGCTGCGCCCCAGGGCACGCAATAAACTGGGTTGATCTTGCCGACAAGATCGTCGTCATCAAAGATGCGTTCGTGCGCTTCCAGGTCTGACGCGGTCCAGTTGAAGCCTGCATTCAGGGGCGGAGTAAACTTTGGTTCCGCAGGCTGAGCATAGGTGTAGCGGTACTGGGCTGCACTGAGACCGCACAGGTTGTAACAGGTGTGATAGCCGTCGACGTGCCTATGGGGTGAGGTGGTTAGTTTAGCGCGTGACTTCACGAATTGTGTATGCGTAAAATGAGAACGTACTTGTCTGGCTTGTCGCGCAAGCCGCCTCTCTTGCCCTGACAGCAGCACAGCACGTAGCGTATCATGCCCTCGCGACTCCAAAGCTCTGTGGGGAGTGGGGTGGCGGGCGCGGTGGGTGTGCTGATAGCGGCCTCAGCGAGGGCCCAGCAACCCCCGACCCAGTGATTATAGCAGCCGTCAACGAGCTTGTTGGCGCGGCCGGCGAAACCGCCCTCGGGCGCCATTTGCCGGGAGGACAGCCAATGGATCAGAGAGGGCACATCAAGGTACCTGCGCATTGTTAGCGCCTTGGACGCGCGGCAATAAGGGCGGTGAAGCAGCATACTTGTTAATTATTTCGTGCGGCGCTCCCATAATGCAGAGGCATGCCAAGGCGCAGAATGCATACGCTCCATGGGCTTCGTTGTCTGGAGCGCCGCCGATACCACCTTCGAATGTCTGGCAGAGGGAAATCCACTCGGGGAGGCCGGTCATGAACGTCTCGTCGCCCTTTACCCTCGCCGGAGAGTCTGGTGGAAGCTGCACAGGCAGGTCGAGCAGCGAGATAATTACCATGGCGCAATACGCGCCGCTGCAGCTGTTAGCACGTGTGTACGACAACGGTCATTCGGAGCTCATACCGAACATCTTCCTCTCCACCTTTAGTAACGGTGAAGCCGCCGTCCTTTTGCTTCATACTCCCAAGCCAGTGCCATAGTGCCTTGCGATCGATAAGTTCGTAGACCTCCTCTCCGCCTACGGTCACCAGAGCAAGTACAGTGGCGTAGGATGTGATGACATGGGATGTTTGACCGTGACCGCCACCGAACCCTCCAGTAGGGTTCTGGCATGCTCTGTACGTATCCGCCGCTCTAACAATTATACGTCAGGAAAAAGTAATGACTTTCCAAAACTGCTGATGACGACAAGGAAAGAACATGGAGGATAGGCGACAAAGCCGCATCGAAGATACGCTGTTGAAAAGAACCTCCCCCTACTTGACGCATATCGCAGGAATGCGCTGTTCCCGCTTAGGAGAGTTGCAGAAAAAGTGAAATGCAAACCTACCCTTCTTGAAAAACTGAGACATCTTCGCCCAAGAGTGACAATCCGCAAAGACTCCAATACGGAATCCAAGGCCTACTTGCATCCATACCAACAAAGCCCTCGGGATATTCGCCCAAGCCTTCAGAGAGATACTGCGAATGGGCGTTTCTCAGAAGCTTCGGAATGCCATAAGAATTGAGCTTAAAGTTATACGGGTTCCCGGAATAGTAAGGCAATATTTTTTTTACAGTATCTTGCTGCTCTGCGGTAGTCTTGGTCTCGAGCGTATCGATGGTGGGCGGCAGAGAAGTGTAGAGAGGTGGGACCCCAAACATGGTCAGGTTCTCCAGCTCTGGGATAACCTCCCCTTCAACGGGTGATTCGTCCATGTCTTCAAAACCGTCGTCGTCAGTGATTTCCTCCAGCCGTGTAGACCCTGCTATAAGCTCTTCCAGTCGGGCAGCTGGGTCAGGAGGCTGTTGGGCTGTTGACTGCTGTGTCTGCGACATGGTGGATTTGAAGACGACACGACGCTTCCGCATGGATCGCAGAACAAAGGATATCAAGGATGTATCGTCCGTCGTTGCCACTTTGGCCTTGTGCCGTTTGCATGCAAGTGTTCGTTTTCGGACAGCAAGATGGCGCTTGGTATTGTTGTCACGAGTTCATTGTCAGCGGCCAGTAGGGTGAAGTTGGGCTATTTTGCGGGTAGCAGTTGAGTTTGGTTTTTGCGACGACATCATAGCGGGTCCGAGCGAATCGGCTCGTGCTGGGCCGTTGGCGGTTTTTGGCTTTCTGCAAGCTCAGGCTCAAGCTCAAGCTCGAGCTCGAGTGCGACAAAGCACGCGCGCATCTGCACTGTTCATCACCGGGCAAACAAAAGCTTGCGCGTAAACGACGATATTCGCCTCGAAATATGGACGCGAGTCACGGTTCTCCCACTATCTACGTGGATCCCCGGACGCCGTGCATCGGTGTCTCAAACTCCTCCTCCAGCGCTTTACCGGCCCCCACCTGGACCGGCTTGCAGGGCTGCAGAACAAACACGATCCTCGCCCACTCCGTCTTGCTCGTATTGCGCCATGCGTGCATCGTCCCTCGCTGAATCGCAACATCGCCCTTCTTCAAGGTTCGCGCCTCTCCGCTGTCCAAGATCAGCTCGAGCTCGCCCTCGAGGCAGATGCCATAATCGAGGCTCTGCGTTCGGTGCATGGCGGTCGTTGTGTCGGGCGCCAGATCGACGTGACGCAGGACAGTGCCGTTTGATATCACCAGGCCTGGTGCGCTCTCGAGGAAGCCCTGATAATTGCGGATGTCGGCGTCGTCGTTGATGTCGACGGGGAAGCCTTGCGAGGTGTAGCTAAGGGCAAAGGCCATGCCGTCTGGCAGCTCGCCCATGCGGCTTTCCTCCGATATGGCATCAGAGAAGACCGCTTTGCCCTCCTCGTTATGGGTCGTGATATAGCGGTGGAGCTGGGGCAGTTTGCCTACGTGCGCCATGTTGAGGGCTGGAGTTGCTGCCTGACGTGATGCGGAGGAAGTCGGTCTGTTTCAGCTGAAGATGATGACGGTCTGTCAGACCATATGCTTTATCGGGGCAATGGTGGGTTCTTCTACATATATGTCATAGCTGCTAAGTCTTGCAGTGGGTGGTTTCCTGCGGCTTTCGGCTCCGCCTCTTCCGAAAAGAATGCATGGCAATGCGCGGGAGTTTCCTACTGCATGATGGAATTCCGGAATCGGAAATAGAGGGAGCCGAATGCTTGTCTTAACTGGAAGTTATCTGGATCGGCTATGCTACTTGCCTCGTGTCATACGTCCGTGTGCTCCTCTTCAACCAATAGCCACAGGTTGAAATAACAGCATGTATAGAGATGAGTTAGGTGGCACTTAGGACTATTTGACTTGTCTCGATCAGACTAACGTCTGTTACCGTGAAACGAGATTCACCGTGAGGCGAGATGGTGATACTTGTACAGAGTAGAAGAAGTGGCCTGGTTAGGGTGCATAGAGTCTGTGTGTGCTCTAAGATCTTTTTACCTATACCTAGGACTCGGGCTAGGAGCTAGGCAAGGGGTACTCTATAGGGACTGCTTATACCGTGTACTATTTCGCTATACGGTAAATTTTAGTTCGCGGGACTCGGGCTAGGAGTTAGGCAAGAAGTATACTGTCGGGACTGCTTATTGTCGTCCCCCGTCTCGCTAGACGGTTAGTCTCGGTTCGTAGTAACGGACGTCGCGTTATGTCGCGATATCTTCGGTCGTTAGGGTAGGTTCGGGCTTAGAGCTAGACAACGAGCACTCTGTAGAGACTGTTCGTGTCGTCCCCTGTCTCGCTAGACGGTGATCTCGTTTGCTGTCCGCTAGAGCGGCTCAGAGGAACACATAGTATGCTATGTGCTTTCCTCTGCGGGTGTGATGTTCGCATTGAGCTCGCTGTGTCTCTGCGGAGCATGGAAGCTTCATCCACTGAAAGGGGCACATATGTGACCTGCGGGGTCTAGAGCGTGCTACGGGTGTAGCTCTGGTGTTCTCCATCGATGCCGGCTTTGATGTTTCGGGAACCACGCTATGATCCAGGTGCGCACGACAAATAAGAATGGACGTTGCCTAACTCACCAACCGCAAAGAAGGCAAAATTTAGGTCTCGGATAACCAAGGGTGCCGTTGCTATTTGTCTTGCACTCGCAAAATCCCTGTGCTCTTTCTGCAACAAACCGAATCTTGGACCCGTGATGCCTCAGGCCCCTGGTCTGAGGCACTGAGGCCGACAACATCCAATGTCTTGGGTAACTTCCAGTCGCCAGTCTTGCAACATGAGCTGCCACGGGCCTGGCCTTTCCAGCCCCATGGATGGTACTTCTGGTCGCCGTCGTCCACGGGACACATGTACCCGGAAATATCAAGGACATGCTTGATGATCGACTCTACATCACGAATGTTACCGGGATTTACCAGCGGCTCAGGTTTCCCCGCCTTTCTTACGTGGGACACGGCGATTGTGCTCGCTGTCCTCTTTGTCGCCGATGAAATTGCCACACTCGATCTGGCGTGGCCTTGGAGCAGGCGAAAAGCATCGTGAGATAGCGCATCCTGGCAGTGAAACGTTCAACGGGCGGCCAATGACGTTGACCGGTGCCGCGTCAGGACTGCTGACATGTTTCAAGGAAAGATCTGGGTATTGAGCCGGGAACATGAACAGGGGTCTAGGTAGGTAGTCACGGAAGCACGGAAGGTCGGGGATGGCATTAGTTATCGCCGACTCCGGGAGCGGATTGGCAATACTTTGGTCGGGGGGCCGCGGCTTCGTCTGACTCCAGCTGTATGTCTCAAATGTTTGTTGGTTCCTCTACCTGCAGCTTATGACCGGGGTACCTCGCCGTGCAAGGGCGCGCGCAATGTTGCCGTATACCCTGTCCTCGTGGGATGGACGGTATCAGGTACGCGTACAGAGATGCAACGAGCCTGGACCGATAACCCCACGTGCATAGGAGGCTACGCTTGCAAATACATATGTAGGTAATGAGCACCTGCATACAGACACATTCATAGGTACATGGCGCGAATGAGAGCGTCTCTACGTAGTATGGGCGCTCGTTATCGGGAGCCACAAGCTTACGCATTTGGCACGCATTTCGCCAGCGATCTGCGGGGAAGGAGCGCATGGCCGGTGAAGTGAGCGTGTTCAGCTTCAGCCAGCCTGTATCTGTCAGAGTAAGACATTTCGAGGTCCAAGGCTCGGGAGGCGGCGGTGTATGCTCCTGCCCTCAGCATGCCTGGGTGGAGGAATGTAGCTGAGCACAAGGAGGAGATTGCTGGTGGTGCTGGTGGTGCCGGTGCCGGTGCTGCTGACAGCCACACACCCATCGGGAGCAGGCGCGTGGCGGGCTTTGTCCTGCGGGTGCCGGCGATACGCTTCCCGCGGCCTGGAAACAAGCTCTCGTGGGAGCCTCGAGTTGCTCTTGCAGATGGCGCGACGGCGACTTGTTGGGCCACTAATGCAAGGGGACGTTGGCGCGGCGAGGTGAAGTGGGAAAAGTCACGAGGGTTCTTCACGCAGCCATGACGGCACGGGGAGGCAGGGAGGTACGGGGAGGCACGGCAAGCAGAACCATTGGAACGGCCATGCTGAGTGGGCGGCAAACAAGCAAGGCGCACGAAACAGACGCGCGGTACAACATTGGCGGCGAGGCAGACTACCACGACACGACACGGCATTATTGCGGAGGAAGCGCAGCGGCAGGGCGAAAGGATTGCGCTGGCGTCTGGACTCGTTGGATATTGATTTTCGGGAGATAGCATCGGGCGGGGCAGGCAGGCAGGCAAAAAAAAGGACAGACAGCCAGACAGCCAGCCAGACACCAGCCAGCTATTTCTGGGACCCTTAACGAACAGCGTGACGATCAACTGACCGGTGCGGGCGCAGCCGTGGGGTGGAGGTGTTCGTTCGTTTGGTGGTGGAGATGGGGCGCCTTAGTCGTGTAGGTTGACACGCTGACAGAGACCAAGTTGATTTAAGTCTGGTAGGGGTATAGAAATGTTCTGGAAAAGGAAAATCCTCAAGTCTCTCTCGCGAAATCAATCAAGAGAACGAGGCCGTGGACTTTGGGGGACCCCTGTGCTTTCTTTGGCTCGTTTCAATGGCATTCCTGGGTGGCAGCAACGCACACCGCTTCTTTGGCACCCCGGCTAGTGCACCGCCCCGGCCTGCAACGACCCTCTGTCGGGCCGCGCGATTGGCTGCGCGTCGTCTGTCAAGCTTCTACTGGCTCGGCTGTGGCCCACCACTTGACCGGGCGTCTTACGGCTTCAAGTCACCTTCCTTCCCCCCTCCGCCTTCCAACCCTCACCTTCAAGCGGTGTGAAAGGTGTGAAGGGTGATCTTTGCAATTTCGCTACTCCGCCTCAGCTGAGTCTTGCCCTCAATCCAGCCATAATCACAATGGATCACCTCGACTTCACTTCCGACGCCTTCCTGGGCTTCGAGAACTTTGACCCCAGTCAACACCGATACTCCGCCTACCTCAACTCCTCCACCTGGCCGCTGCCCGTCGACCACTCGACCATGTCTCACAACGGCGCCCCCTCGAGGAGGCCCGCGACTTGCTCGACGCCCGCCTCGAGTCAATCCCATACCTCTACCGCTCCACTCCACACGACCGGTCTGCCATATCCGCACCAAATGGATCCCTCCGCAATGCTGCCCGGCTGGCAGTTCCAGCAACTCCACCACCACCAGTATCCTCAGGACCCAAACTCGCTCGACACGGCGTCCTACGGTACCTACGGAGCCCCCATGCAGACCTCGCCAGTCGACTACATGCCCACCTCGCAGGCTCCGCTGGGCATGAACACCACCATGCCGCTCGACCCCTCCAACAACTACCTGGCCCTTTCCACGCCCATGGAGCAGCCCATGAACGCCATGCCCTTCCACATGGGCGACTTCCAGAACGAGTTAATGAACTACCCCATGAACACCGGCGATCTGGTTGCTACCAACAGCGTCGCCGGCAGCTCGCCCACCGAGAACTGGCTGGAGGTGAGGTCGCTGTCGAGTAGCGACAACGGCTGGAGCACCATCGACTACCACCAGCCGCGCACTTCGTTCGACTCGTATACCGAGTCCCACAACGGCACCGTCTTCAATCCCGTCCAAACTCTGCACATCCGCACCCACTCGGATTCGTCGCAATCCGACGTGCCCCAGTCAGCGCACTCTTTTGGTAGCTTCGAGGAGATATCTTCCTTCCCCATGCACTCGCCGCAGTCAGAAGTCGGACTCGACTTTTCTCACGGCAACTGTCATGGCCACCATGAGCATGACTACCACTACCACTCTCCCATCCACTCCCATCCTTCCGTCAGCCCACCTGCTTCGACGGTTCAGCCGTACGTAATCAAGCAGTCTGCTTCGTCGTCGACCTCGCCCACTTCTTCCGGTATCGCGTCACCCCCCGCGATCCGGAGGCGAAAGAGCCCGACTGGAATTGCAACCCCCAGCTCCAGCAAGGTCGCTAAGACCATTACCAAGAAGACGGCAGGCGCCGCTAAGAAGGACGCCGAGTCGGCGAAGAAGGTTGGCAGGAGACGAGGACCGTTGAGGCCCGACCAGAGGCAGCAGGCGCATGAAATCCGCAAACTGCGTGCGTGCCTGAGGTGCAAGTTCTTGAAGAAGACGTGCGACAAGGGTGATCCGTGTGGTGGCTGCCAGCCGTCGCACGCTCGCTTGTGGCAGGTGCCGTGCACTCGTATCGACATCAAGGACATCGCCTACTTCATGAAGGACTGGAAGGCCGATTTCGAGCGTCACGTGAGCCTGGGCTTCTCTGTGGGCAACATCAAGGGTTTCTCGACGATGGAGCGGCCGCTGTACATCACCCACGGCTACGGCTACTACCTGCCGATCACTGCTCGCGAGGTCTACGTCCGCGATGAGAAGTGCTTCGGCATGGACTGGGTCGAGTCGATCCACGAGAAGCCGAGGGAGTTCGAGGTCACGACCGCGAAGCTGTCTGCCGGTATGGAAGGCATCTCGCATGCCGTGTTGTCGGAGTACATCGACAGCCACATTGACGGTGGCTTCGAGAAGTTCATCGACGAGTACTTCGAGGGCACCTATTTCCTCACCGAAATCCTCAAGACGGCCTACCGTTACTACCTCAAGTCCAAGCTTCCCGTTATCCGGAAGGCGTTGAAGCTGGTGGTGGCCTACAACCTCACCCTTCACGTGACTATGGTTGAAGGCCTGTCGGAGGAGGAGAGCCAAGTTGGCAAGATTGAGACCGACAAGAGCAAGTTCTTCGGGCAGACGGTTGCGCCTGTCATGATAAACTTCCAGGTCAAGTGTGCTCTGGCGGACATGTGGCGTGAACTGCAAAAGGACATCCTCGAGGAGCTGTCTTCACTGTACTCCTCGGTCTACAGCGGCGAGAAGCTCAAGAACTGGCCTACCATCTTCATGCTGGCCGCCGTTCTTCTTGCCGTCTGGGAAGAGATGCAGTTTGACTGCCACTACAGGGTTCCTGACCCGACTGCCGTCACCAAGTTCTGCAACGACATGGAGAGCACGCCCGTCGGCGTCATTGTCGGCCTCTTCTCTGCCATTTCGCAGAAGCTCCCGAGTTTCATGGAGTGGGACACCAGGAAGCACCACCATCTGCTCGCCTCGAACCAAGCGGTGTGCGACGCTATGACTGAAGTCAAGGAGCACGTCACGAAATATGGTACGTTACCCCTTGGCATACGCAATAATCACCTGCTAACCCATATAACAGAGAGCTATCTGAAGAGCCGCAGTGAGGCCAAGTTCGATAGGAGTGACTTTGACTGCCTGAGCAACAAGTTCCTCTCTAAGCTCGTCATCCGGGCGAACTGAGCGAGCACGTCCAAGACGTCATCATCGTCCCTCACCGGACGATGATCTTCGGCCTTCTCTGTACAGCTCTTAACACTCACTGCACATAACGACTCCTTCGATTCCTTTTCGGCCCTTCTACCACTATGGCGGCTTTTTACGATTCACGGTCTACGAGCACGAGCACCACGGCTTTAAGCGAGCAACTGCTTGATTCCCCCGACGTCCCCAGAATGAGGACCGTCACGTTTCACCAACTATGATCAGTCCCTAACGAACCCCCCCTATTTTCATCTTTGCCTTTCATGGCTGTTTTCTCATGCCTGCTTATGCCGACGATGATGAGATACCTCGACATGCGTGTGTTTGAACTCCATTCTTACCACGACAGAGTTATCTCGGGGCTCCAAGGTGCTGCTGGATAGAGGTCTCTTCCTTGCCTGCCACCTTGTGTGCCCTTCTATCCGAGAACCACTGGTCTTTTTTCTGCTTTGCTTTTGCTTTGCGTGCTTTTTCTGCATAGCCTGCGGCAAACGGTAGGAACGAAGACCCACGAAGAGAAACGACCAGAAAGACGACTCACTCACTTTCTGAAAACTACAATTACCTTTCCCCTCTGCTTCGGCTCTCATGGGCTCTGCAGAGGACATGGGACAGTCTTGTACCTGTATGGATTTAATATCTCATCAGGAATCCTTTTTTGCTTTTTGCCTGGTTTCCTCTGCTTCTTCTTTTTTTCATCTGGGTAAACGGTTTAACGGTATGGAATGGGTATGGGACGGATGCTTTCAATGATTTATTAGTTTTGGGTTTTCTTCCCTTACTCTTTTTTACGAATTTGGGGGGGGGGGATTTGGCGGTGGTGGACGACGAGGACAGGGCTCATGATTTGCGATGAGCACTTTTCCTGATGATTAGACAGCTGGTTGTATACAGCGTGCAAAAAAGAGATGAATGTTTCCCCCCATAATCGATTGACCCGTTGGATGCTGTGTGTGTGTATGCGTGGGTGAAAGCTAACCCGGATGGTGCGAGTGGAGAAGAAGAGGCGAGTGAAGTGAGGGGCGAAGAAACGAGGCAACAAGAGAGAAGCAGGCAGGCAACAACGCGCGGCCCCCAAACAACAAAAAAGGTGGAGAGAGAATGGGAAGATAGACGAGAGACAAACCCAGGCAACCGTTTCGCAGGCCACAAGCATGCGGCGTGCGCGCGCCGCGCCGGCTTTTTGTAGGCAGGCGGCGGGCGGCGGTAGCGGTAACGGCAGCCTCGCCCTCACCCCCTCCCCGCCCGCCAGCGGGAGCAAAAGTGGCGGGCAAAAGTGCGGTGTAGACGAGGGCAGGCGTGTCAGGCGTCACTGGTCAGTCATGGCCGGTGGTTTAGGCACTGGCAGGCCTGGAGGGCGGCTGGCCTTGGGGTTCGCGCGTCGCTGCTTTTTTTTTTTTTTTTTGCTCGCGGCGCGCCCCACCATTCATTCATCCACTGGACGAGCACCACGACGCGGCCGGAGGAGGAAGAGGTGCGTATGTAGATAGGCTGGGCTGGGCTGGGTGGCGGTCGGGGACGGGTTCGCTGCTGTGTGTGGTGGGGGGAGGCGGTGATTGCTTGATTGCTTGCTTGCTCGCTCACCTGCCGTTGCTTTTCGTTTTGCTTTGCTTTGCTTTAGGTACTTCTGCTGTTTTGTTCCGAGGGAGCAGCAGCATCAGCGTGGCATGGCATGGCTTGGCTCCATTGCCTCCACGAAACAACGAACACACACGACAGATTACCTAGCTACTTCACTGCGATACCGGCTTTGCGAGTGTGTGGCCGCGAGCTGAGTGCTGCGTGCGTACATACAGTGCAGGACATACCGCTTCCTCGCCGCGCTAACACGCGCCCTCTACTGTACGCTACGCTACGCCCGCTACGTGCCGGCGCGGCACTGCTTGGCTCAGGGCCCGGCGGATGGGGCGAAAGAATGATAGGTAGGTACGGACTACGGCAAGTACTTCGTACAGTAGGCGGGGTAGACCAGCAGCAGCAGCAACGCTAGCCGGGACGGCAGGCCGCCGGGATAGATGCAGCAATAGAGAGAGGAGCAAGCAAGCAACCAACCAACCAACCAACCAGGCGGCCTGCCACCCCTCCTTCTTTCCTATCTATCTCGACCACGAGTCTAACTACGGGTCGGAGCAGCACGCACGATACACAAGTTTAGGGTTGCGGGGCCGGGGCGCCGCCCATATGCACCACGGCCGTTTGTGGCTCGTCGCCGCCGCTGGGATGGGTGCGGGGGCATGGGCCGTTTTGGGCGGCAACGAGCGTTGGCGGCGGCGTTGTCGACGGCGCCGCAAGATAGAGAAAGAAACAAGAGAAAGAGAGAGAGAGAGAGACGGTGAAGGGGGCGCCCGAGGCTGGTGTTGGTTGGTTGGTTCGTGGGTTGGCGGAGGCACGGCAGGCGGTGTGGAGGCGAGACGATGGCGGTGGGTTGCACACGAGCGCCACCGACGGCCGCAGTGGGCGCGCGCGTGCTGCCTGACTTCGTGCCCGCCTACGGAGTACGTACCTAGGTACCTACCGTACACACAGCCTAGAGTATGTACCAGCTAGAGCACTGGCGCCGCTGCCGGCGGCATGGTAGGTAGGTAGGTTGGGCTGCCGTGGGCGTGGCGAGAATCGGCCGCTCTGCGCTGCGCTGTGCTGTGCCGTGTGCCAGCTGTCCGCCGCTGGCACTTATCATGGGCGCGGGCACTCTCGCTGGCACTGTTGTCGCTGTCGGATTCTACGAAGACGGGAAACGGTCGCCGGGCTACAGGTGCTGCTGCTGCTGCCAGCGGCGTGGCAGGAGGGAGCGCGTGGACAAGACAAGCATGAAAGAGCTAGGAGTAGGAGCGAGCATCCCTTTTCGCCGTGACACCCTCTGGGCCTCACCAGAGGCAAAGAACGGCAAGAGGAAGACGAAGACTCTTTGGGCGCATGATTCGAATCAAGCAACCAGTCACCACCAGCGCCTTTGGAAGAAAGACATTGACCGCTCGCTCCACCAGCCCAAGAAACGCCAGCGCAAAACCCGATCCCCGTTTCCACGTAAGAGGAGCGGTCCGCGGACGGAAAAAAACGGCCCTGACCACGCCCAGCGCGCCTGACGATAGGTATCGACAACGACGTCGGGAGCACGACAGCGTGGGACCGCTCCGTAGCTCGTCTCCCAGAACCAAGCATTAAAAGCAAGGCAATGATGCTTTTAGGCCAAGCTGCTCAGACACCGCCGCCATTGGGACGGTGCTTGCTTCGACCAACGCCAAAGCAAAGTGAAGCCAAAACAAGCGTCGCAGAGGCAGTGGTGGCGAAAGGAACGGACCAACTAACTAACTGACTGACTGACTGTGCTGCTTGGACGACGGCGGCGGCGGCGGCGGCGATGCCGTGCTCCGTAGAGCAGATCTCGCCATCCACGCCGCCGTGATCTGGCTTGGCTGGCCATCTATGGTCGCGGATGACGTTGCCGCCACCTGACGGCTGCGCGCCGTTATCGTTCCTCAAGGCTTCCGGGCCTGATTCAGATCTTGGTCATGCTGCGCCGCCCCTGGTTGCGCTTGGGGTGATGGTGGTTCAACTTTCATCCTTCAATGATGGTTTGAGCCGTGCCAAAGGATCAAAAGTTGCAAGTAACCTGTCGCATGGAAACGGACTTCTCGGACCACTGTGCTCGTATGATCTTCCGAAAGGGGGACGGCATGTGCCTCATCGGCGTGGTTCTCGTGTAAGAGGCGGCGTTTGGAGGTAGCACAACCGTCGAAGAAGTGCAAGGTGACACGGGAAAGGACAAAGAACTTCGTATCCCATTGCCACTGACGACGAACCCACATCTCATCACGAACAATAGATCTGAAAATTTACCATGAAGAATTCTATTTCACTCTCTTCTCATTAACCTAAACTATGGACCGTGGCCGGCTCATGAACATTGTAGAACAAGAGGATAAGCGGGCACTGCTGGACAGCATGTACCCTGTACTTACGCCTCTAGCTCCGACTAATTGGAAAAAAGAACCTTCAAAACACTTAGAAAACCGCTCCACCTCGCCTTCTCACGACAGATCAAAGCCCGCACCAGAGTTCACCGCATACAGCAGCTTTTCTCTAAGCAGCTTCTCATCCCCGTAGATCGGCAACTTCAGCAGATTCACGCAAGTGCTTGTGCTGGGCAACCTGGTGGTATCTCTGCCAGCATCGCGGATGCTGAATCTCGGGTTCAGGCTGCTGAAGCCAAGCAGCGGCGCGCGAGGTGTCGAAGTCACAAACTTGAGCACGGCGCGCCTGTCGGCGTCCTCTAGGCTCTCCATGACGCGCCAAAACAGCTGAACGGAAGGGTGTTCCAGGCCGTCATCTCCAATGACGTAGACACCGCCATATTGTGTGTTGCGCCGCAGGTCGGCCACGTCAATGCTGGAAGAGGTACCACCGACGAGAGTTTGTAGCTCGCCCTGGTTGAACATGCTGAGCCAGGAGGGCTGAATCATAGTGGAGAGTCCTCTGAGGAAAGCGTCACTTTGCGCCTTGGGTTGAATTGCTAGGCGGTGACGCGCAACATAGGATATATAAGCCAGTCGGTTGTCATTGGTGACTGGGATGTTTGAGCCATTCCTCAGAAGGTCACGGGTTTTGGTGATCGTACGACCGGTCTTTGGATCCTTCCTGATGACATCTGTGATAGTAAAGGACAGACACAAATCTTCTTCGACGTTTCCGGGATAGTTCTTCAGGCGCAGCAGGCCCTGATACAGCTCCTCATCAAGATCGCGAAGATCATTGAGATTGGCGCGGTAACCAGACTCCCTGGCTGCAGTGTTGTTACCTCCAGTCAGGGACCATTTAAGCAAGAAAAAGGATGCAAAGTTGATGTCAACTAGAATGCCCTCGTAAAGGCACTTGCCCACGATACGACCAAGGAATTCGTAACGTTCCAGCATCTCCTTCATAGTACTCCGCCACAGCACAGCGTCTTCCGAAATTCCAGTTTCACGTAGGATTTGTCGTTGCTCGTCTGTCGCCGAAGGGTTGGGGTAAAGAAGGTGCTGTTCGTTTTCGACAAAGAGGTTGATATCACCATCAGCGCCGGGGGAGAATGCTTGGTTAGTGACGCTCGTGAGGAACTCTTTTGTGACACCACCGCCATCAATGCCTGCCTCGACCGTGTCAAACTGATCTACAAATGTGATCTGGATTGGCTCTTTCAAGCCTTCACCAAGTTCGTAGAAATGCTCGAAGGCGTCGTCGAACTCGAACTTTCTCCGAATTTTGGCATGGTGCCGAGATATTGCACCACGGTTACCAAGCTCATGCAAGACTGCCACACGCCATTGATCTGGATCCGTAAAACCATGCCTTCTCTTCAACTTTACTGCTGTTAGCCGTGTTTGGATAATCTTCAGCGCTGCATGGACTTACTTGATCGAGACGAACAAACTCCCGAAATATTTGCACGCGGGTTGTGAAGGGTATGAAGAAAGGCATGTTCTGCAAGATCTCTAATCGTGGCGCAACGAGTTGCAAATATCTTTTCCGGGATGCTTGCCGTTGCTGCCTTTGTAGCCTCTCAAGATGGCGAGCTTGTTGCGTCCTTCTGGTACCAATAAGAGGCTGGTTACGGCCATCGATGAACTCGAGGCCATCAATGTCCTGCTCCATATCCTGGTTGATATCCTCATCGTCTTCTTCTTGGATTCGGTTCCGGTTCTCTTCTTCCTGTACAACTGCCGAGATAAAACTGTCCATATCGAACCTCTGGGTCATGAGCCAATGGTCTTTTGGAAGAAATTTTCGACGGGAATCCCGCTCATAGATCATTCGTAAAAGGCCAGTGACAAGACCTTTGACGTAATCCAGAGTCATGCCAGTGACACCGCCGATGGAGGGTTGCACTGGCTTTTGCTCGTTTTCCTCGGGTTCAGGAGTCGTCCGTGAGTTGAGACTGAAGAAACTGCTGATACCGCCGGTTGAAGACTGATCGCGCTCGTCATCCCCAAGGATCTCCGAGGCATTGAAGTACATTGTAAAGCCGAGATTTTTGAGGAAGATTGTCAAATCGCGGACCTCCGTTAGAGGTAGAGCATTTTCCCGTGTCCGACTTGATCGCAACCCTGTATCTTCGCCTATGGAAGTACCTCCAGAAAAGAACTCCTCGTCGTCCATGACCTTGAGTACGAAAATGTACAGTTCTAGGAAGATCAAAATGACCTGCCACTCCTTGCTTGTTGATTCCGAAACATCCTCAACCACGCCAGGAGGTTGCCAGCGGCTAGTGGAGCGTGAACTCTTTTTGGTCTTCAACAAAGCTACTGCAGCTCTCGAATCACGGGATATTGTTTGCACGACGTTTGTCGAGCGAACGGCTTGCCAAAAGTATTTGATCGCGGGGGTGCTTCGGACGGAGCTTGATCCCAGATAAAGCCACATGCGGATCTCATCCCCTCTGCGGGGGAAGAAGCGGATTAGGGTGAGCGCATAACTCGCCAACTCTCTCGCCTCATTATCTAGAGACTCGCTTGTCCTATCAGCCAACAAACTGCGTATGCTTCCCTCATCGACCAGAGCTGAGATCTGATCTTGCAGAAATGGAGGCAAAGTCATTCTTCTTGGGACACGTTTGTTGTAGTTTGCTTCATCGTCAGCTTCTCCGATAGGCTGCGCATCCAGGCTGACCTCATCGGCAACAGACGAAAGCAGTGCTGAAACAACAGAAATGAAGTCCTTTTGCGCCGAATAAGCATGGGTCTCTCCGAAATTATGGGCGTGTCGATGGCAGTAGATAAAACACCCAAGAAGGCGCACGCGGTCTTCAGTGTTGAGCTGGTAGTTAGCCAGATCCCCGCTCCTCACAGCTTCAGCAACTCCGTTGCCCAGAAGCTTGTAATTGACTTTTGCAGCCAGCTGATTTAGCCACGAGAGACCTGTTGTGCCTGAAACAACATATGTCTCCCCACTACTCAGTTCTCTCAGAGGTAAATATGAGCAAGCGAGAGCCTCGTAGACCTTGGGGGTATCTGGGTGCAATTTCGCAAGTGGTGCGGTAATATTGGTAAGCAGAGCTTTTTTCTGTGCATCTAATGTCTCTAAAGCAAATGATTAGCCAAGTCGTATCCTGAAAGAAAGGGAGTTCACCGTAGGATTGCGGAAGTAGCTTCTGAGGCATGCAATTATCGAGAGCAAACCATGATAGGAAAGCACTCTTTGCACCTTCAATTGATAACTTTCTCACACAGCCTGAAGTGCCATCACAAAAGGTCATCATGAGTAAATGGATTGGCCATACCTTTAGAAGAGTCGTAGTGCGTAAACGCATTGTGAGTGATCTCAGCCATGACACGGTAGTACCGCCGGGCATTCCGTGCGGATTCCCTTGGTATTCTGTCCGTAAGGAAGCTAAGGGTTTCCAGAGAAGGCATCACGGAGCTGGACTCAAGAACCGATGCTCCTTGAGCAGCTGCGTCCTTGAAGTCAGCAGTAGCATTCTTATTATCTGTGCGATCGATAGCTTTAAGTTGCCGTTCTAAGGCACCGAGAACAGCCTCTTGAAGACGAAGGTATGCCATAGGCCAGGAGCCACCTGAGTAGGACGTTTTCATTTGGCGTTTGCAATAATGTCCGAGTCTGTCGAGGTCTTTTTCGTCACGGAGGTTCAAGAAGAGAAGCAGGCGCTGAAGCTGCATGAGGGCCTCATCCTCGGTGGCATAGGGAGTCTCCGGGTCCTCTGATAGCATCCCGTTAGCTTACTCTGCAACCAAACCAATCGCTTTCTGAGAGTCAACTCACCTCCCATCTCCGAGGAATCCCATTCCTTGCGGACTTGGTCGTATACCTCACGTCGACAGACGTGGCCCCTCCATGTCCGCTGAATCACCTTAGCAGCATTAAGCTTCTCTCTTTCGCGCTGCCTCTGAGCTCTTTCCTGTTGCGCGCTTTTCACTGCAGACTGTCCCGAACCAGCGCCCACCGCAGCAAAAGGGTTTGCGACTCGTCCGGAAAGGTTCACTTGGCGAGGGCGCCTCGAGGAGCCAGTGAAGGTCTGAAACATGGCTGCGATGTCGGCCGAGAGGTGCGGAGTGATGAGCACTATAAGCGTGGCGGGCGCGCGGGAATGAACGGTTTCAACAGGAGTACATGCTTCGGCGGAAGGAGGCGCGAGGTGCGGCGAGCTCTAGAAGCTTACGGAAGCTGTAGGTGCGGCTTGACGTGGTTGGGATGATTCCGCTCCACGCGGCAGCTGTCCGTCATCGTTGCCACGGCGTCGGTACATTATCGGCTCCAGATAAACCCGCGATATCACCGGCTGAGGGCTGACAGTTAACAGATAGCGTGTCCGCTTTGTATTTACAAGGCCTACATTGGCTGTCAAACGTCGACCGGAAATATGTGGTAAACCATGCCAAGCTGTGTTCAAACAACACCAAAAACTTATAAAAGGTTCTTGTCCCTGCGATATTAGTTTGACTGCGCCTCAAGATCACGCTGATGTAGACCTTCACAATGCAGTGCAACACAAATATAATGTTAGGTGAAGTGAGTTGGAGACCGTGAATTCGTGCCATTTCTGGTCATGGATATGTAACTATGGTTCTCCAAGCGTCTGCTTTGTTTCCATCGAGCTCGTAATCGACGTGATCTCGTTCCTCAATCCATCCGTCGGCCATGCTTCAATATCCCTTTACAGGATGGTGCCAAAGCCGAACGTGGTCTTGATGCACCGCACGTAGTACTCATCCCAGTTCCTCTTGGTGACGTCTTCTTGACCGATGGGCACGCCCTCCCAGTCGACCCTCATGACAGTCACCGCATCCACATCGTTCTGGTCGAAATTGATGTTAAGGGTAGAGTAGTGGCCAGCGGGCCATTGTGCAAGGCGCCACTTCTGAACAATCCTCGTGGGCTCGTTAAGCGAAACATACTCGCCAGTAACATTGCCACCAAAGATTTCGAACTTGCCACCCTGCTTCGCGCCTTCGAAGACCTTGGGCGGTGCCCGCGTGAAAGCCGCAATCCTCTGGGGGTCCGTGAAGGTCTGATAGAGTTCTGCGGCAGTGGTGCGGAACTCCTCGTTGGAAGTCAGGGTGGTGACGTTGACAGCAGACCCGTTGCCCGAGGTAGCAGTGGACGTGGAACCGGACGCCGGTTCATCCTTCTGCTTCGGTATCGAGGTGTTGGAGTAGACCTTGGTGGCAGGGAAACCACTTGAAGGGTTGCTACCCGGGGCGTGCTGGATGTCCTTGCCGTGCTCCGTCATCAGAGCAGAGCCAAACTTGGCAAGGCGGGTCCGCAGCTGCGGTACAATCTTGGAGCGAACAAGCTCCTTGACAGGCTGCTTGCTTGCGGAGTCGGAGTAGATATCTATGTCGAACTAAAATTAAAACGTTAGTCAAGCTCTTTCGACAGCAAGCTGTGCAGACTGCCAAGAGGACATACAACGTACTCGTCTTCCTCCGTATCATGCGCAACTTCCGGGATGGTGATGGTGCCGCTTGCTGCCTCGCCCTCCTTGTTCTTGCCTGCAGAAGAGGTCAGGTATTCAATTGGAACAGAGTGGGACTTTGCTCTACTGCATACCCGAGTACTCCAACTGCAGCTTCACGTCAAATATCGTGATGACCTTTCCCTTACGTTGGCTGACATCGACGTCGCCGTCCATGCTGATCAGCCTGTCGATCTGAGCGGAAACGCCATCAGCCTCAGCGGAGACGGTCTTCAGGTCGGTCTCCAAGTATTCCTTGGCCCAAGGGCCGACGTCCTTGTTGACCCAATGCCAGTTGTTAGGGTTGTGCAAGACCATCGTGGCTCCGGTATGTGAGATGAGTTGAAGGAAAGTTTAGCTGTGAGGCTGTAACTACTACAGTAACGACAGGTTAGCCTGTGCATTTTGCGAGGTTCTGGGTGAAGCTCAAGAAGAGAGGGTGAAAAATCAGATCATCGGAGTCTTGCTCCTGCAAAGCTAATCCGCAGCAAAAAGAGTACAAGTCTTTCTAGGACTGGTGCCAGCGTGTGTCTCATCATAAAAAAAAATGAAGAAGTGCAAAGCACAGTAAGGAAGATGTGCTAAACGTACCAATGCCAGCGTCTTGCGCTTCTAGTGCAATTATCCAATTAGAATAGATGTAAAGCTGAGATGAAGAAATCGTAGAGCAGAAGGTCAAGGGGGTATCTTGTAGTTTTATTGACGGTGGTGGGGTGTTGAGATGCAGAAAGCCCTCAGCCGAATCTTCCAAAAGCTTCTGCAGCGGACCCCGGGAGCGGGCCGATTCGCTCCGGTCGACCTCAGCCCCCCGCGATGCCACTGGTTCACGCGAGGCTCCGCAGGCCTGGCTTCAGCTTTGCAAGGGTGCTACTCATGTCAAGTTTGGCGGATCGCATGCTCCCCCAAGCATTCTTGAAGCGTTTGAGTAAGGGGGTAGGTATCCGAAGATCAGGGAAGCAGCCTGACAGCAGAGCATCGCTTGTGGATAATCTCCCGCCGGTGCCCTGGCGCTGCCCTGCCTTGTTGTGCCAACACCTCCAACGCTCTCCGCACCATGTGATTCAAGAATGCGGAAGCTGCGCATACCTTTCTTTCGCATCTGGTACAGCACCACTTATACCGTCATCTTCCTAATCCTAGTAGTCCTCCTTGCGGTATCGCCGGCCGATCTCATTTCCCAGACCATCCGCAACCGCTCCTACCCGAATGCCTTTGTCGTCGGCGGCGTCTATGTGCTCACCCTCGTCATCATCCTCTTCATCTTCGCCAGCCGCCTCTACACGAATCGCACCGTTCTCGCCGGCATCCCCAAGGCATACATACCGGTCGAAAAGGGCGAGGTGGGCAAGACTGTCCGGCGCATGATTGTGAAGGGTTTCGAACGAAGCGCTCTAATTGCATGGGATTCGCGTCCGCGAGACGTCAGGACTGAACTGGACGATGGCGATGTCAGTACGACGCCTTCGGTCGAGCGTCATCATCATCATCCGCCCTTCAAGAGGAAACACCGCTCCAGGGATATGAATGTTATCCCGATAGACCCGGAGAAACCCCCTTGGGGACATATCTCGCACCCAGGATGGTCTTCGCCGTCTGCGAACAACTTGCCTACCCTGCAGTACGATACCGTCGTGGCAGAGCTGCCGAACCTCATTGAAGCAAAAGCGGTCTCGCTCGCTCCTTCGCACCCCGCCTTCGCGTTTCCGATGCCCGACAATGGAGCGCCACTCATGCCCGATGCCCGCATCGTAGCCTTACTTCAACGCCCTGCGACAATGGGTCTGCGAGACTATATCGGTCACCTCTCTTCCTTTGGTCTTATCAATCCGCCCGAGTTGGGAACCGCATTTCTGGATCGCTACGAGTACGCACGCTTCTCCATGTTGCCGCTTTCGGAGGACCAGTTCCGTGACCTAATGGAGATTTTTGCCGAAATTCTCACAGGCATGACTGGCCTCAATCCCGACCTTGTGGTCCAACTGCAAGCGGAGGAATATGGTTCAGACACGAGCAGCCTGGCACCTTCGCATAGGACTTCTCATTCTAACGCCTCAACCATTCACTACAAGACACCCCAGCCAAGACCTCAAACTGGCTCCACATACACGCAGAGTACCACATCCACACCGGTTCGGAGGGATAGCATTAGCAGTAGGAGCATAGGAACCGTACGAACAGCACGAACACGCTTCTTCGACGCCTACTCCGAGCATAGGACCCTCTCTCGGACGTCTTCCGGTATCTCAAGGCCATCCACACAAGGATCAGTTCGCCCACCACGCACACCTGCCTCGCTGGCTCCATCGTCTACGTCATCGTTGCGATCCGCAAGAAGTGTCATCAGATTGACGCCGAATCCTAGACCCGGGGAGGTGCCTTATCAATTTGACTTGGGAGGCGGTTGAGAACCATGCGCTCTAATGTTAATGAAAATACCTAATCTCTCGGACTGTTCCCATGAAACTTGGACCTACCTCAGGACCGACGAAGGCATTCCTGGTTGACCCGAAATGAATGTCGGATTCGGCGCTCTGCGAAAACTTTGATGGGAAAACAGACTCGCTCCTCAATCACTTCTGGGAATTCGAGCAAATTGCAGCAAGATCCGAGCATTGATCCAACCACGCGGTGATGCATCGGGGGACGAAAACGATAATATAGCCTATCTATATACGGCTCAATGATACCCAAGGAAACACGAGTTCCAACGTGGAATTTTACTCCGTCGCAATGCTATCCTTCTACGTGTCTTACGAAATATGATCTACGAAGTCCTGTATCTACCATCACTCTTTTCCAAACCAGTAATCAGGCGCTACCAGCTGACAAGCTGTCTTCCTCTATCAAAACCTCCTCTCAACTGACTGCCTGGCTTCACAAGTTTGCCCTGCAATAATGTGTACTTGACCAGGTTCTCACAGTCAGATGGCCTGACCCTACCCAGCCAAATACACTGCGCGGCCTCGCGATTCGTCTCGCCATTTGCCTCGCCATTTGTCTCCCCGTCCGGCTGCTCAGCCGGTGGCGGCGCAACAACGCCTGCGCTCCCAACCCTCCGATATATCAACACGTTGGCAGCAAACTTGTGCCCGCCGACATGGTTGATGAAGTATATACCGACTCCACCGGGACGCTCGTCGTGCAGGTCGCGGTACAGGCCGAGAGGCCGCAGCTGCCGCTCGAACTCGCGACGCAGCAGCGGCGCCGATTGTCCGCAGCGCGCGTCGCGCGTCTTGTGGCTGCACAGCATGATGATGTAGTCGTGGGGGCAGTTGCGGGGTTTCAGTGACGAGGGGATAGATGCGGCTTGCTCGGGGGCGGCGGGGAGAGCGCTGTGGTTCAGCGGCATGGTGTTGGTGGGCGAGGTGTTGACGTAGTTGGTTATGAGGCCCGGGACGCTGGAGGGCGTGACGTTGTCGAGGACGGTGAAGGAGGGGAGGAGCAAGACAGTCGTCGGGACTTCTGCGCCCTCGGGCAGCGGGTCGTGGTCTGGAACGGGCATGTTGGAGGCGGATATCATCATTTTCTGGAAAGCGCCGCTGTCAGTGCCATGCTTTGCGGCGCAATTGCGCGGGGCTGGTAGCTAGGTAGCTCTGAGTGAGTGTGACTTACGCCATTTGCTGGCTTGACTTTGCTCTTCTCCACAGCCTGCATGATACTGCCAGCTTCATCCGCCACGTCCCTAACCTGCAGTCAACATCAATACTAAACCGGCGTGGCACCGCATAAATAATGCACTACATACCCAGTCAGTCTTGCCGGTCGCGACGACCAAGTGCGTCTGCCAGCCCTCAATGTGGCCATACATATCGGCGTCCTCGTCGATGCTCCATTTCTTGGGGTATTTTATAGTGCAAGTCTCGCAATCATGAAGGCAATCTTCGCCATCGACAGCGGGATTGGTCGCGGGGAAGAGTTGGTCCTTGGGGGCTTTGGTGAAGCCTTCAGGGAGTTCGGTGGAGGAGGCGCCGGCGACGCGACCCCAGAGGTTTTTCAGCGAGGAAGCCATCTTGCGCGATTTGAAGGAGAGAGGGAGGATGCGCGGATGATGCAACGGGGATTGCGCGGACATGGCGGTGGGCATTTTGGGTAGATTTGATTGATATGATAAGCAGCGGAATTAGCGCGCCGCGAGTCGGCGATTCGGGGATCAGCGATCGGTGCCGACTTCACCAACGACGATGTGTGGATTCGTGACGGTGGATTGACTGTTCAGGAATTTGAATGAAGGGGGCGTGTGCTGTTAAAGGTAATTATAAGCTGCGTGGAAGGAGTCCTACACAGCTCTCTCTCACTGTCAGCCTCATCCTTTATATTCAACCTTCAGCTTCGGACTACTGCTTATCACCGTCGGCCGATGAGCCCGCCCCGAAGCCTCGGACATCCTCCGCATCCCATCCAAAAGCCAAGGCGTTCAAATAAGCTTTAGAAAAACCAAAAGCCAGTAGAAAGAGCTGCGGATTTCGAAGAGAAAATTAGGCCGACGCGTTGCGTCGTGCCTAGCTCCACTACGCGATGGGCCAGCCGCGCATCAAGATACTGACAGGAGCTCCACTTTCGGACCGCCTCGCGTGGGACGAGCAATCGTTGAGCAGTGATTGGGTTCCGTCTATTCACAGCTTTCTGGTCAAGCGTGATTTCCTTCCAGGTAATGTGGACGGATCGCGTTGGACGGGGTCCGCGCCGGTAGATTCCCGCTGGCGGAGCATTCCCCTGTCGAACCAGAACAACCTTCATACTGGATATACCCAGGCGACTGAGCGTGGGCACTGGCCTGGCCCAGCTAGAAGCTCAATACGTGCGGAAGACGAGTCACTGCTTGATGACCAGCCGTCGCCGGCTTCGACGATTCCAGATTATGAGGAGTTTGATGATCTACCTGGTAGTTCTTTTGGTGGAACTGATTATGGCGACGACTCTGAAACGAGATTCTTGGAGCATTCGGTTGCGGTGCACGATGATCTCCAATCATCACAGCTTGAACTGAGCCCGTTGGAAGAGACGACCATCCTCCCGTCGTTCCGGACCACAACGTCGTTCCGGACTACAACAGAAACCTCCTTCGGCTCCACAGACTTCCTGTCGAATTTAGATGAGTCGGACCTCTTCGCCGCGGCCGACAGCCACAGCGAGGCCAGGCTCCCGCGCTATGTCACGAATCTACGAGACATTCCCGACGCGAGGCATCTCAGAAGCATCGTGCCTCAAACAATCGTAGTCAGCATAATTGCCGGCATCATTTCTATACTGCCGTCCCGCTCAATCAGGACGCGTCACGGCCAAGTCAAAGATCTGGTCGAGCTGCTCGTAGGCGACGAGACCGCAATCGGGTTCAAGATTGCTTTCTGGTTCCCTCACCAAGAGAGCCAGCCCCATAACCACGCAACAACGGCCGACGACCCCCTCAGAGCTGTTCTTCATGAGCTGCGTATCCAGGATGTTGTTGTCGTGGAAAACGTTGCGCTGGACATTTTCAAAGAAAAGGTGTTTGGGTACAGCTTGCGGAAAAGCATGCAGAAGAACCAGACGAGGGTGCAGCTGCTCGCCAGAAACGGCGTTGACAGGGCTGCCGGGCTCCAGGACGTGGACAAGGTGCAGAGTGTCAAGGATTGGGTTTATAGGTTGGTGAATCCGCCTTCGGAGGCGCCTAGGGGTGATATCATTGCCGAGCCGGGGGTTACGCATAGGGCGCCTTTACCTCCGGATACGCAGTAAATAGCCTGCTAGTCTTTACAATCTGGGCTTTGGGTGTTTAGTTAAAGACGCCTCTTAGTAATGTAATATCTCGGAAGGATGATATTCGAAGCTACTCCGTTTGGTGTTAACTACTGAAACAGTGAATACGACAACTCACGCCAAAAAGGTTTGAGGTGGAAATCTGCCATGAGGAAGTCTCGTATATGGCGATGTGAATATAAAAGGAAAAACGAGAAGTAAAAGACCAAATGACCACACCATTCTTTTCTTCAAGTCGACCATTTCTGTCTAGGATTCATGCGTGGTTGACCCCATCAAGATTCCCTGCAGCTCTAGCTACCTTATAAATCATCCCGAGGAACCATCCTCGAGTGCTTGAGCGGCAAAAGTCCAGAGCCGCTCAGCACTCAAAAGCAAACCTAACACCCATTACAAGGAAGTGTAAACAGCCGACAGCACCAGTCTGCATCGACATCGAATAACAACTTTAGCTTCACCAAGTCCCGAGACCAAGCTGACAGCAAACACCATATCAACGTACCAAACCAGCCGGATGCAACATTCAAAGGATGACCGGCCTACTGAGTGTGGATGTATGGAAGAATGCAACACTTTCAGCATCCATTAGATAGATGCCCATTCGACTCGCCGCGAGAAACAAAATCTCTCTTGCCAACAAATAACCCACGCTTAAATACCGCCACGGGCGATGTCCTAGCGAAGAAGCCATGCATGACAAGCCGCGTCGGGAGGCCAGTCAGCTAGCTGTATACTAGCCAAGCACGCATCAGCCAGACAGCAGTGCATCCGACCCCTCTCAGATATAGCTGAGTCGTACCCCTGCCGCCTCAAACGACAAGCACGTACATGTCTATTCACAGCATGGCCCAGCACAGCCGATCGCCTCTGGCAATGATTTTGGGTAAGAAACCGAGACATTCCATCGCTACCGCTACCATCACCCCACTCATCCCCACTCACCCACCCCAGTTCTCCTGCATTCCGTATCCATGCAGCTGCCCGACCGGGTGACGCGTACGTACGTGCCCTACATACAGGCAAACAAAGGCAGGCAAATGTGCAGACGGGGCGACGGGCAGAGTGGTGTATTTAGGCGCACGGCGTGGGAACGTTGTACGGAGTGGGGGCGCGAATTCAGGTATGGGTATGGGTATGTGCGGATGTGTGTTTCTGTGTCTATACGCACGTATGCGCGGCGACTGGCGTGCGGATAGGGGCGTGCGTGTAGCAGACGGACGGACAGGCATGTGGGTAGATACTTACACGTGTAGGTACCTACATAGATGAGCCTGATTGGGTAGGGTTGAAATAATGAGGGACGGGGTAGATGGATAAGGCTGAGGACAGACGGGCGGGATTCGTGGTGTTTGCCTTATGCTCTATTTGTCAAACAGAAGGCATCCAGGCATCATCTTCGCATAGCAAGTCAGCACCGCGGCTTACGAGAGCGAGCAATGGAGCGTTCTCGCCTCGCCTCGCCAGCTCGATTCGACGTTCTTCGGTACGATAAGTGGGCGGAGGGCGGTGCGACGTGCCACTGCGACGCATGGCGGGCGGGCACCTCGAGCAAAAAGCACTGTTGCGACTGAACAGGGAAACGCCACTGCATAGCCACGGTGCATGGTGGCCGTTGAAGAAGGCGTAGTAGGCAGTAGGTAAAGTCGTTAATTTTCAGAGGCCGTCTAATACATAGGCATGTTGTATCTTGTACGTTGTCGTGGTCGTCGTGTGGTTTGATGGTGCGGTGAGCCGGACGAGCGAGGGCACGTCAACGCTGCTGTGCTGCGAGGCTCAGCCAACAAGCCATGCCCGCCCGCTCGCCCTGCTCGACAGCCAACCAGCCATCCATGTGTGTTGTTGGCGGGCAGAAGAAAAGCGAACGGTAAAGCATTCCTCCAACTCCTGGTATCACAAATTTCCCCTTCATCGTCTCTCAAGTTTCACACTGATCCATCTTATGCGCCCCCCTCCCTCTTCGCGTACTCATCCTGAATGCGGCGCTCATAGGCTCTCGCAGCTTCGTCGTTTTCGTCAATCTCCTCGACGTGGCCAGGGGTGTGGTGCTGCTGCGCGGCGTTGTTGCGGCTGGCCGCGATGGCAGCGCGGGGAGCGCCGCCCCGGCCGTCGCCCAGCATCTCGCGACCGTGGGAGTCGTAGTAGCGCATCTCCTGAATGGTGGGCTGACCCATGTTTTGGGTTGTGGTGCGCGTAGCGGTGCCGGAAGGCGTGCTGTGGGATTCGGTGGCGTAGGAGCGGCCAGTGACGCCGCGGCCGTTGAAGGATGAGGAACTGGAGCTTGAGAAGGAGTAGGACGAGCTGAAGGAGTAGGACATGGTTATTGTTGTTGCGCGGTGGACGTGTGATTAACTAGAGCAGGTAGTAAGGTAGTAGATAGGTAGTAGGTTGGCGAGGGATGATGGGATGGTGGACGGAGGGGCCATCTTCCATCTTAAAGCTCGGCTGTGGCTGACGTCACGGGAAACAAAGCCCACCCTTGGCCCTGCCAAGGCCAAGTGGCAGCGGGCGACTGATCCTCCTGCACGCAGGTCCCCGTCGTACAAAATAAGCTTGTACATTGTAACTTTTTTCTTCTGCCCGTACCCTACTCGAGTAGCGAATCGATTGTGGGATGAGGCTCCCCGTGCTCCCCTCGCGCCTCGTATCCACCGCGACAAACATGGAACGCCTCGCGCTGGCGCCCGGTGGGACCAATCCTGGCGATCTGGCAATCTGCGGGCGCCAGCCCCAAAACCGTCGAGTCTCCGTCCACCAGTACCCTTCGCTAAGTGCTGCCTTCTACCCCAACTTCAATCCTCCCACATATGCTTGAACAAGCTCCTGCGAGCCCTCACATTTACTCTTCCCTGTCGTCGTCGCAACCGTCGCCATGCCGTCCGCGAAGCGCACCTCGCTCGTCACCTTTGCCGTCATAGCCGTCTTCCTGCTCTTGCTCCACATGCTGGGCGGCACCCAGCCTATCACGCCCATTCCCCTGCCCGACGACGAGGGCCAACCGTCCGGGTCACCCGCATTCGGCGGCAGCAACACTACATTCCGGGCTCTTACGCCCGAGGAAGATCCATTCCGGCCCGGCGTGCCCAAGCCGTCGGGAGAGTACTCGCGCGTGCTGGTCGTGCCGCGCATGGCCAAGGAGGACGTCTCGTGGATCGAGAAGGAACTGCCAGAGCTGGAGACGGCCATCTACGTAATGGATGACCCGTCGGCACCGCTGCACCCGCCCGCCAACAAGGGCCGCGAGTCCATGGCCTACCTGACGTACATCATCGACCACTACGACTCGTTGCCGGACGTGGTGCTGTTCTTCCACGCGCACCGGATCGGCTGGCACAATCTGCTGATCATGGGACAAGATACGGCCGAAATGCTGAAGAGACTGCGCAGCGAACGTGTATGGCGCGTAGGCTATTTCCCCGCGCGGTGCGACCACAAGCCCGGCTGCCCGGACTGGCTGCACCTGGACCGGCCCGAAGTCGACTTCGACGAACATTTGCGCATGGAGGAGAAACACTACACACCGGAGATCTGGCGGCAGCTGCACCCGCCTGGCCTGGGCGGCATGGGCGAGGCGCACCGCGTGCCGGGCGTGCTGTCGGCGCCGTGCTGCGCGCAGTTCGGCGTCTCGAGCGAGCGCATCCGCGCCAATCCCAAGGAGCTGTACGAGCACTACCGCAACTGGCTCATCGAAACCGACCTCGACGATCAGTACGCCGGCCGCGTCATGGAGTACACCTGGCACTACATCTTCACGCGCGCGTACCAGTTCTGCCCCTCAGAGCACACGTGCTACTGCGACGGTTACGGCATCTGCTTCGGCTCCGCGAAGGCCTTCGATGTCTACAAGCACAAGGAGGAGCGCAAGTGGGACATCTGGGACCGTCTGGGCAATGCCGAAAAGCTGCAGATCTCACCAGAGGAGTTGAATGCCCTGCGCGAGGAGCTGAAGCACCTCGATACCCAGATGTCGGTGCTGCGTGACGACGCTATTGCCCGTGGAGAAAGCGAAGATGCTCGCCGAGCCGAGCGCGAGCGCATCCCGCTGCACTGAGCTACCGCGGTGCCGTTTCTTGGGGTCTTCTCCAACACCATTCCGAACAAATTTTTGCTGTCGCTCTTGCTGCGCATCGACTCGCGCTTTTTCTTGCACATCATATCTTGCTCTTCTTTTTCTTTCTTTCTTTCTTTCTTTGCTGATACACTGCTTCTACTACTGGTTCTGGTCTGTTCTAGAGGGTCTGGTCCGGTACGGTCTGATTTGCTTCCACCTGGGCTGGGGGATTTCATGGCGGCGTTTTATTGTCTCGTTTGATTCCAATGCCTGATTCATGGGCAAATGCGGGAGGAAAGGGGAAAATGGACATGTGAAGGGGTGTTTTTCTAATCCGGTGTCCACAACACTTCCAGGGTCTCGTGGGTCGGATGAGGGTGGGTTTGGCGGGAGCCCGAGGTGGTCCTGGCCTGGTCGGTTGGTCCAGGCGGTCGGTTGCTCACCGCGCGTCTTATGTGGGAGAATGATGCGAGCACGTACGCGTTACGTACGTGTGCGCGGAGAGAGTGGGGATAGAGGGACGGAAGAGGTCACGCCCGGAACGATCTTGCCTTGCAGGCCTGTCTATGCTATGCTATGTGCCCTATGGAGGCTTTAGGTACCATCTGGTTATTTTTGCTGCTGCTGCTATTGCGGAGCGATGGGAGAACAGGAAACTAGATAAAGTAAAATGTAATCGTGCTGCGGTCTTGCTTGGTTTGTGTGTCCATTTAATTGGTTGGCTGGCCGAGTGATTGGTTTGGCTGTGAGAGTGTCGCGGGCGTGTGTTGTGTTGTGTTGTCCGAGGGAGAGACCTTTACACAAGAACTAGAGATCGTCCGTATTGAAGCGGGTAGTTCAATGCGGGCATGGAGGCGAGGTTATGGGCGGTGCAGGCGGTGACAGGAGTGCTTATCGAGTGTAGCGGCTAGGTAGTGATTGGGGGGCGTGCTCTTTATTTGTAGTTCTTGCCGCAAGCGCCCCTGCGGGAAGCCTGGCAGGCGGATGACAACGTTGTCCCACCAGACCACGCGACGCGACGGCTTAGACGCCTATTGGCTGAGGATTCAAGGAGCGGCGTTGGCAAAGCTTACTCCTCACGTGGGCGTGGGCGTGGGCGAAGGCAAAGCTGCTTGATTTCAAGGAACGAGCCGTGTATGTTGGCAATGATGGATTTAGAGGGATGCGAGATGAGCCAATTACAAAGCCGAAAAACGCGTTCTTTCTGGCCGTTTGCGTTTACTCCCGTCTTTTTCTCCTGCGGCTCCAAAGATCTGAATGAAAGGGGTACATGTACATCGGAATGGGTGACCGAGATCCTGGAGACTGAGACAACAGGCGCAGAGACGTCTAGCTTCCGGGTAACTAACGGAGCGGATGAGACCCACAAAGGGCTCCCCCGCAAAGAGAGGTGCGGCTGTGCTGGGGGGGCGGCTTGGCCCGGAAGCCCGTGCGGCGAGAGGGGGGCGAGCACCATGAAGGCCGGGAAGGCGCAAGGCTGGGCCCCCAACAAGTGGCACTGGCTGCTATCGGCAAGGAGGACGGGAGGGTAGATATCTCTTGCGAAAGTGGCCTCTGCCATGGCGACATGCAGTTCATAAGCCACTTGGCTGCCTGGCCAGCTCAGCTTTGAGTCACATGCTTGGCTGAGATAAGGCCAGGCCGCGAACGTCATCATACGATAGGCCTGCTTGTTCAGGAGGAGCTTCAGGAGCAGGCGGCAGGCGCAACTGCTGGTCTCTGCCCGTTCCTGCCCGTGACCGGCTGCTTGCATCAGCCACTCTGATTCGCTGGTTCCTTCCACAACCTTCCACCCGTGTGTAGGCACTGTAAGCTGCCCGCCACTCCGCCCTACTTAAAGCCCTCCCACTCCCGACACCGCCCATCCTCCTTCAACTCTCCACGCCACCGTCTTCACGACAGTCTTCTGCACACACCCACTCACACTCTCGCACATAACCAGAACTTCACTCAGTCAACTTATTACACGCATCTCTCAACATGCAGATCTTCGTCAAGACCCGTAAGTTCCTCCGCCCTCGCCACCCGCTCCCCGCCGCCTCTCACTGACGCGTCGCTCAACAGTCACCGGCAAGACCATCACTCTTGAGGTTGAGTCCTCCGACACCATCGACAATGTCAAGAGCAAGATCCAGGACAAGGAGGGCATTCCCCCCGACCAACAGCGCTTGATTTTCGCCGGCAAGCAGCTTGAAGACGGTCGCACCCTGTCCGACTACAACATTCAGAAGGAGAGCACTCTGCACCTCGTCCTCCGCCTGCGCGGTGGTATGCAGATCTTCGTCAAGACTCGTAAGTGTTGCCCGCCTGCCGTGTCGCTCGTCGCACCTCACTGACCCACATCGCAGTCACTGGCAAGACCATCACGCTCGAGGTTGAGTCTTCTGACACCATCGACAACGTCAAGTCCAAGATTCAGGACAAGGAGGGTATCCCGCCCGACCAACAGCGCTTGATCTTCGCGGGCAAGCAGCTCGAAGATGGCCGCACCTTGTCCGACTACAACATTCAGAAGGAGTCCACGCTTCACCTTGTCCTTCGTCTCCGCGGTGGTATGCAGATCTTCGTCAAGACCCTGACCGGTAAGACGATCACGCTCGAGGTGGAGTCTTCGGATACGATCGACAACGTCAAGTCGAAGATTCAGGACAAGGAAGGCATCCCGCCCGACCAGCAGCGTCTCATCTTTGCTGGTAAGCAGCTGGAGGACGGCCGCACTCTCTCGGACTACAACATCCAGAAGGAATCGACCCTTCACTTGGTTCTCCGTCTTCGTGGCGGTATGCAGATCTTCGTCAAGACACTCACGGGCAAGACGATCACGTTGGAAGTCGAGTCGTCGGACACGATCGATAATGTGAAGTCGAAGATCCAGGACAAGGAGGGTATTCCTCCTGACCAACAGCGTCTCATCTTCGCGGGCAAGCAGTTGGAGGACGGTCGCACGCTCAGCGACTACAACATCCAGAAGGAGTCGACGCTCCACCTGGTGCTGCGTCTGCGTGGCGGCCAGTAGAGAGTGGCAGTAGTGGAGGGCATGAGCTTTACATTCGATTCGATGTTTGGCGTTTCAGGGCATCAGCACCGGTGGGAATAGCCTCGGTGTTTTTTCAGCTTCTTTAATGACATGAGAGCCTACGGGCCGAGACTGCGATTGCCGCAGTCTCATTTGAGAGATTCTCACATATTGGTTCCTTACTGGTCTCGGGTGATTGGCAATGTTCTAGAGTGAACGAAGTATCGATTGATTGACTGCTTGACTGGATTGGGGTTGTCGGGGGCTGTTGGAAAGCATACGTACGCGCCACGACTGAGACACACCGACTCCCGCTGTTGCTGGCAACGACCCCACGTCGCTTCCATCCATGGGACGGGCACGGGACAGCGGCTGCGACGGCGACGGCGACGGCGACTGTGCCGCGCTGCGTGGCGACGCAAGCAAGAGCACACGGACGGTAGAAGCGAGCACGGCATGGATGGAGGCGTACCTACGTTGTCGTCGACGTCGTCATTACCCGTGTCGGGGGCCGTGTTTGCCCTGAGTCGTGCGTGAGTCGTGACGGCAACGATTTAATGCCCGACTGATGAGGTCCCGAGGTGATTGGTGATTGCTGCGGGCGGGACCCACTTGGGTGCTCCGCTCCGCCCCGCCCCGCCCACGCTACGGGCGGACAGTGGGTGCCTAGGTACAACAGAGTAGGCGGACTCGGCTCTGCTGTGGCGCAGTGGGTGGAGGGGAGTGGCGCAGGAATGGGAGCGGGACTGGAGGAGGAGGTGGTGGTGGATGCATGCGTGCGTGCGTGCTGTGCTAGGTAGTTGCTAGTTGCCAGTTATTTTGTCGTGTCTTGTTTTGTCTTATTCCAGACTTCAGACTTCGTCCTCAAACCTTAACCCTATGTAGGTCCCCCCGCCAACAACCCAAACCCAAACCCAAACCCAAACCCAAAACACCACCCCCTTCCCTCCCCCTCCCACACCCCACCC